AATGTGTTGATGGCTGGACATTGCATCATCCTAGAAAACTTGGAGGCCAGTGAGGACAAAAATAAAAAGTTATAAGACTTTTAAATATGTGGATTTTAGGGTTATCTTTGGCGCCCCCTAGAACCTAAACCGTGGGGTGCAGCGTCATGATTTGAATAACTTTTAATGGCCATGGGGTGTAGATTGGCCTGAGCAAATGTGGTGCCGGTGGAACGAAAGCCTTCGGAGGAGTTAGCGAAATTCCAATGTGTGCGGATCGGCAAAAAATGCGGAATATCCCTTTAACCGTACATTTGACAAATACGCACACATTGACTTTTTCGTAGATCTTATTGAGATACATGTGTGTGTCAATTTTTGTCATTTTGCCAAAGCATACAGGTGTTACACTCAACAATGTGTATTTTCACCTTAGGGGACAAGAAAAAATTGACTTTTTTCTCCTGCCATGGGGGGGCGCTCTTTTGGGGAGTAAAAATTCCTTCACAAATGTGTTGATGGCTGGACATTGCATCATCCTAGAAAACTTGGAGGCCAGTGAGGGCAAAAATAAAAAGTTATAAGACTTTTAAATATGTGGATTTTAGTGTTATCTTTGGCGCCCCCTAGAACCTAAACCGTGGGGTGCAGCGTCATGATTTTGATAACTTTTAATGGCCACGGGGTGTAGATTGGCCTGAGCAAATGTGGTGCCGGTGGAACGAAAGCCTTCGGAGGAGTTAGCGAAATTCCAATGTGTGCGGATCGGCAAAAAATGCGAAATAACCCTTTAACCGTAATTTTGACAGATACGGCCGCACTGACTTTTTTGTAGATCTTATTGAGATACATATGTGTGTCAATTTTTGTGTCAATATGACAAAGCGTACAGGCGTGACAGTCAATAGTGTGAATTTCCACCTTAGGGGGCGCTATGGAGCCATTTTGCATTTTATTGTTTGGGCGACTTCAGAATATCGAATTTTTCACCAGGCCCGGTCGTCCTGCCAAATTTCATGAGTTTTCGCCAGTGGGAAGTGGGCCATTTTCCAGTTCAAAGGGGAGGAAAAAGAAGAAAGAAAGAAAGAAAGAAAGAAACAAAGAAAAACCACTTGGGGAATAATAGGGCCTACGCCCGGCTGCTCTGCAGCTGGCTCGGGCCCTAACTAGGACCCCGGTGGGGCACTGTCGGGCCCGAGCCGCGTCGCGCCGCCCCCAGCGCGACCGCCTCCCCCTCCCGATCGCGTCACACTCAAGGTCCAAAGATGGTGTGCGCACTTGTCTGTGGTCATTTCCCATTATAATGAATGGGAGGCGCAGTTTCTACCAAAACACTCGCTGCAGACAAACTTCATGTCCTATTTGAAAAAAGTCTGGACCATGAGTGAGGGCACAAACACAGCTACGATATATCCAAATGGCAGGTTGCTCCTCGTTACGGTGTTGCCGGGAGAGTGATGCAATTGAGCCATTGAGTGATGGGCAGGAAAAACTTGACTGTTTCTCCTGCCATGGGGGTTGGGGGATGGGGGGGGGGGGGGATGTGGATTCTTTTTAGAATGTGGATATTTTGGTCATCTTTGGCGCCCCCTAGAACGTAAACCGTGGGGTGCAGCGTCATGATTTTTACAACTTTGAATGGCCATGGGGTGTAGATTGGCCTGAGCAAATTTGGTGTCAGTGGGACGAAAGCCTTAGGAGTAGTTAGCCACATTCCAATGTGTGCGAATCGGCAAAAAATGCAAAATAGCCCTTTAACCGTACATTTTACAGATACGCGCGCATTGACTTTTTCGTAGATCTTATTGAGATACATGTGATTGTCAAATTTTGTGTCAATATGACAAAGCGTACAGGTATGACAGTCAACAATGTGTTTTTTCACCTTATGGGACAAGAAAAAATGGACTTTTTTCTCCTGCCATGGGGGGGCGCTCTTTTGGGGAGTAAAAATTCCTTCACAAATGTGTTGATGGCTGGACATTGCATCATCCTAGAAAACTTGGAGGCCAGTGAGGACAAAAATAAAAAGTTATAAGACTTTGAAATATGTGGATTTTAGGGTTATCTTTGGCGCCCCCTAGAACCTAAACCGTGGGGTGCAGCGTCATGATTTGAATAACTTTTAATGGCCATGGGGTGTAGATTGGCCTGAGCAAATGTGGTGCCGGTGGAACGCCAGCCTTAGGAGGAGTTAGCGAAATTCCAATGTGTGCGGATCAGCAAAAAATGCGGAATAACCCTTTAACCGTACATTTGACAGATACGTGCGCATTGACTTTTTCGTAGATCTTATTGAGATACATGTGTGTGTCAAATTTTGTGTCAATATGACATAGCGTACAGGCGTGACACTCAACAATGTGTATTTTCACCTTAGGGGACAAGAAAAAATGGACTTTTTTCTCCTGCCATGGGGGGGCGCTCTTTTGGGGAGTAAAAATTCCTTCACAAATGTGTTGATGGCTGGACATTGCATCATCCTAGAAAACTTGGAGGCCAGTGAGGACAAAAATAAAAAGTTATAAGACTTTTAAATATGTGGATTTTAGTGTTATCTTTGGCGCCCCCTAGAACCTAAACCTTGGGGTGCAGCGTCACGATTTTGATAACTTTTAATGGCCACGGGGTGTAGATTGGCCTGAGCAAATGTGGTGCCGGTGGACCGAAAGCCTTCGGAGGAGTTAGCGAAATTCCAATGTGTGCGGATCGGCAAAAAATGCGAAATAACCCTTTAACCGTACATTTGACAGATATGGCCGCACTGACTTTTTTGTAGATCTTATTGAGATACATATGTGTGTCAATTTTTGTGTCAATATGACAAAGCGTACAGGCGTGACAGTCAATAGTGTGAATTTCCACCTTAGGGGGCGCTATGGAGCCATTTTGCATTTTATTGTTTGGGCGACTTCAGAATATCAAATTTTTCACCAGGCCCGGTCGTCCTGCCAAATTTCCTGAGTTTTCGCCAGTGGGAAGTGGGCCATTTTCCAGTTCAAAGGGGAGGAAAAAGAAGAAAGAAAGAAAGAACTAGGGCCCCGGTGGGGCACTGTCGGGCCCGAGCCGCGTCGCGCCGCCCCCAGCGCGACCGCCTCCCCCTCCCGATCGCCTCACACTCAAGGTCCAAAGATGGTGTGCGCACTTGTCTGTGGTCATTTCCCATTATAATGAATGGGAGGCGCAGTTTCTACCAAAACACTCGCTGCAGACAAACTACATGTCCTATTTGAAAAAAGTCTGGACCATGAGTGAGGGCACAAACACAGCTAGGATATATCCAAATGGCAAGTTTCTCCTCCTTACGGTGTTGCCGGGAGAGCGATGCGATTGAGCCATTGACCGATGGGCAGGGTTAACTTGACTTTTTCTCCTGCCTTGGGGGGGGGGGGGGATGTGGATTCTTTTAAGAATGTGGATATTTGGGTCATCTTTGGCGCCCCCTAGAACGTAAACCGTAGGGAGCAGCGTCATGATTTCTACAACTTTAAATGGCCATGGGATGTAGATCGGCTTGAGCAAATTTGGTGTTGTTGGGACGAAAGCCTTAGGAGGAGTTAGCCACATTCCAATGTGTGCGAATCGGCAAAAAATGCGAAATAGCCCTTTAACCGTACATTTTACAGATACGTGCCCATTGACTTTTTCGTAGATCTTATTGAGATACACGTGTGTGTCAAATTTTGTGTCATTCTGACAAAGCGTATAGGCGTGACAGTCAACAATGTGTTTTTTCACCTTAGGGGACAAGAAAAAAATGGAATTTTTTCTCCTGCCATGGGGGGGCGCTCTTTTGGGGAGTAAAAATTCCTTCACAAATGTGTTGATGGCTGGACATTGCATCATCCTAGAAAACTTGGAGGCCAGTGAGGACAAAAATAAAAAGTTATAAGACTTTTAAATATGTGGATTTTAGGGTTATCTTTGGCGCCCCCTAGAACCTAAACCGTGGGGTGCAGCGTCATGATTTGAATAACTTTTAATGGCCATGGGGTGTAGATTGGCCTGAGCAAATGTGGTGCCGGTGGAACGAAAGCCTTAGGAGGAGTTAGCCACATTCCAATGTGTGCGGATCGGCAAAAAATGCGGAATAACCCTTTAACCGTACATTTGACAGATATGCGCGCATTGACTTTTTCGTAGATCTTATTGAGTTACATGTGTGTGTCAATTTTTGTGTCATTTTGACAAAGCGTATAGGCGTGACACTCAACAATGTGTATTTTCACCTTAGGGGACAAGAAAAAATGGACTTTTTTCTTCTGCCATGGGGGGCGCTCTTTTGGGGAGTAAAAATTCCTTCACAAATGTGTTGATGGCTGGACATTGCATCATCCTAGAAAACTTGGAGGCCAGTGAGGACAAAAATAAAAAGTTATAAGACTTTTAAATATGTGGATTTTAGTGTTATCTTTGGCGCCCCCTAGAACCTAAACCTTGGGGTGCAGCGTCATGATTTTGATAACTTTTAATGGCCACGGGGTGTAGATTGGCCTGAGCAAATGTGGTGCCGGTGGAACGAAAGCCTTCGGAGGAGTTAGCGAAATTCCAATGTGTGCGGATCGGCAAAAAATGCGAAATAACCCTTTAACCGTAATTTTGACAGATACGGCCGCACTGACTTTTTTGTAGATCTTATTAAGATACATATGTGTGTCAATTTTTGTGTCAATATGACAAAGCGTACAGGCGTGACAGTCAATAGTGTGAATTTCCACCTTAGGGGGCGCTATGGAGCCATTTTGCATTTTATTGTTTGGGCGACTTCAGAATATCGAATTTTTCACCAGGCCCGGTCGTCCTGCCAAATTTCATGAGTTTTCGCCAGTGGGAAGTGGGCCATTTTCCAGTTCAAAGGGGAGGAAAAAGAAGAAAGAAAGAAAGAAAGAAAGAAAGAAACAAAGAAAAACCACTTGGGGAATAATAGGGCTCTCGCAGCTGCTTAGCAGCTACGCTCGGGCCCTAAAGAAACAAAGAAAAACCACTTGGGGAATAATAGGGCTCTCGCAGCTGCTTAGCAGCTACGCTCGGGCCCTAAAGAAAGAAAGAAACAAAGAAAAACCACTTGGGGAATAATAGGGCTCTCGCAGCTGCTTAGCAGCTACGCTCGGGCCCTAAATAACAATTTCTGGTACATGTGAAGTGTGTGCTGCATCCCTTTTTGCGTGGAGTTGTCATAGGCTGATCCCTGGAGTAGTGGCGGGTTGAGTGGTTTGTTACAGGCTGTAAAGAAGAGACAATATATTAGTTACATGTTCACATAATGAGAATCAATGAACATATAGTGATAACACACTTGCTTAGCATGCATTAGTTTCTGGCTGGAGTTGGCAGTGGCTGATATCTCCTGTGATGGTGGTGTCATGGGATAAATGTGTGGTTACATGTTGTGAAGAAGACATGACACATCAGTTACATAATCACACAGTTAGAATTCATGGTAATTACAATCATATACCACTGTTGTATGCATCCCTTCTGAGGAAGAGACACAGTGAGTGTTTACACAAGTAGTATAGTGTATGAATGAAAATAGTCAAGTATAAATTGAAATTCACACTTACCAATTGTGTATTGTTTCAGTAATCCATCAGGGTCTCATCTCACCAAAGGTGGAGTAATGATGGGCTGGTCAGTCTTCAGCTGGAGCAATCATAAGATGTATGGTATATTTGTTGAAACATTGAGGAGAGGAGAGATTACATCAGTTACATGCTGACAAATGAAGAAGTCATCATATTGGAGAAATAGTAAATAGGCGCATTGCTAATGTTTTCATTCTTTGTAGTCAAGTTGTGATGTTCAGAATAATTGCTAATGTAAATGAAGTGGAGAGGTTATATATCACATGTTAGTTTGCATACAATCACCATAAATGTCCATACTTACAATGTCCTGAAGTGGTCACTTGCGTTGACATCATGGTTTGTCCAGGTGTTGTAAATTGATCCATCTGCCAGCTGTATGGAAACCTGCTAAAACACTTTCAAATCTACTTTTCTATGGAAAGCATTAATAATATCAAAAACAGCAGTGTACATGATTAATCACAAATTTTAAAGCTGCAGTAAATACCTTCATGGTCGCTAAAATATGAAGGCATTACTTCAGCTTGTGTGTGGAAAATGCCCCCTCTCACAAAAACATGATCAATCAAAGTGCCTCGCTCTGTGGTAGGCTGGGTGATCACCTGATCATAACCTCTATCTTGGAAAAATTTGCAAATTGAAGATGACTTCAATATGTCATCGTTGAAATCTCCCATGACAATAATGTTTTTGCCAATGTGTTCCAGCCATTGGAGTAGTTTGATAATATTTTGTTTGAATAGTGTCATGGGGTAGGTTGGAGGCCGATATATGACTAAGGAAAATGTTAAGGTTTATGCAGTGGTACACCAAACATTCCACATTGAAACAAGGCACCTTGATGATTGCAAACTGCATAATTCCATCACAATACATTGCAACTCCCCCATGTTCTTTTGCCTGCAAAGAGGCAAAGGGGGCAGTTTGACCATCATATGCCAGAGCTCGTGGACAACTATGCAGAGAGTAGTTGGCTATCTTGAGTGTCTCTGAGGAACAACCTGGATGCAACCACGTCTCAGTCACAGCAATGCACTCTGGCTGCAAATGCTGTGTGTGCTGAGCCAAGTCAGACACATGGCGTCTCAAACCCTGAACATTCATGAGGAACACTGTCAAAGTGTCCTCCACTCTCCCTTGCCAGGTGATAGGTTCTAGGAATGAAGCCATCCTTGAAGTGGCCTGAGCAATTTCTGGCCGACAATAGATTTTTTTGGGATTGAAATCTTGAATGATCAAGCGGAAATTGACCTCCCTTCTTTGTCACTCTTTCTTCCTCCGGTGTAATAGCCGTGGAACCAACAAGATGATCTGACACCCTTCCTGACTGTTTCCTCTTCTCAACACCAACTACTTCATCATCAAATTTCACAAAAATACACTGCGGAAACTTTTCATTTTCAACACAAACTACATCTGTTACTGTGCCACATGCACCATTAACCAAGCCGTCAGCCAAATCCAAATTTTTTGTCAACATGACACGAGAGCCAGTACCCAATAACAATGTTGCATCTAAACACGTGTTATATGTTAGTGTATGATAGCCCTTTTTCAATTCCAGTTTGCCTGTCTTTGAGTTGTTTATATAATCTTGAGCCTGTATTACATGGTAATCTGGACATGTTCTTTGTAGCTGCTCAAAGTTGTGCTCATTGACCTGGCTATTTGTGGCAAATATATGCAAACCTGAGCATTCTTCGCCAGTTTCTCGCTGTTTCAAAGTGGTGATATCACTTTGCAACATGTCTGAGTCTTTTGGATGCATCCGAACTCGATTCAGTAGTCAGGCAAAATCTTCGTCTGTCTGCCGAATTACTTTTGTCAACTTGACAACCTTAAAATGAGTGCTCCAAAGATCAACTCCAAGTGGTTCCATGTATAACGGTTTGCCTTTCACCGGAGGCAACTGATAAAAATCCCCCACTGCCATGACGCTCACATTTCCAAATGGAGTGTGAATGCCTGTCTGTTTAATTTGGTGAAGTCAGCCGTGCACATAAGTGAGCATATTGTGATCCACCATAGAAATTTCATCAATTATCAAGATTTGGAGATCACAATATTTCATTCTCAATGTGTTTAACTTTTCTTCACCTATTGGTACATAAGGGAGGCGAACATCTTTCCCTATGCTAAATGTACTGTGCAGGGTGGTTGCATGCAGATTATATGCAGCAATCCCTGTTGGTGCAGTCAACAAAATACTGATATTGTCAGGTTGTCGACACATTGGTGACAATAACCTTGTGGCCTCGTATTGAATCGCTCTGATTAAATGCGATTTTCCAACGCCAGCACCACCTGTTACAAACACATGAAAGGGGTCTGGGTTTCTACCTGCTGCTTTAACAACGCACCACTGATGGACCTTGTTTAACACACGCATCTGGTCATCATTTAAAGACCTGCATAATGCCAATCCCTCGCTTCTACTTAAATTGTTGCACTTAGTTACCTTAGCCTGCTCTACACCCCCAGCCAGATCAGGAATATGTTCCACTGGGTCATTGTCTACCTCTATCTGCTCTGCCCTTTCCTGGATTGACTCCAGGCGTTCAGTTTCTTGCTGTGGGAACAACTGCCCCCACGCATCTTCTAGAGGACCATCAAAATTTACAGAATCAAAAACCTCATCTAAGTCATCAGCATCTATTTCATAATTGCAGCGATTCGAGTCCACAATTGACTTCACTGAACGTAGCTGTCCATCACCAATGATGACACGGCCAGTTTTGTAAAAGTCTTCAAAAGTGACAAATCCCTCTGGCTTTAGCTGTTCTTCTGTACGATACGGAAGAAACAGCTGCAAAATGCTTTGGTGAAATAACTCTGGACTTTTAGTCTCAGAGAATCTTGCGCAGGCTGTGTGCGGGTTCTTCTCAACACAAACCCACAGCCGTTATCAAGTTCAATTCGGTTTTTTGATTTTTCACCTTTGTAGAGCACACGATACTCAGCAGCAAAATGGACAAGGCACATGGCTTCAAATATATGATCTCTGGGTCTGTTTTTATAACGGTAAACAAAGTTGATCATCCACATCTGTTCTGTGGATTCAGCAGCCATGTCTTTTAACACAGTCAATGGCTTGCTGATCCTGACAACATTGTCACCTGTCGGTACAAAAACCACCTTCCGAGAGCACTCTTTTAAGTGCATGTTGCTGAGCTTGTAGACTGCCTCCTGAGCCCCAACATCTCGGTTGTGAAGGTAAACACTGCCTAGCTTTTTCAAAGCCTGTTTGGCACTGAGGTTGTCTTCCTTAGATGCTTCACGCTGTGCATTTGCTAACATCAATCCCATCTGTCTTTCTGCTTTAGAGATGTATGAAATGATGTAGACTACACAAGCATAAGCATCAGTCACATACTGGATGTCCATGTTTGCATTCCAAGCTTTTAACAGAGTCTTGGAATGTGGGTTGATCCACGTATCAATAACCTGCCGTCGCATAATCACCTCTGTCTTTTTCCCTAACCTCCTGTATGCTGCCTCAAATGTCTCCTGTCGTATACCTATACTCGCAAATAGCTCATCTGCAGTTTGAATTGTGCAGTTCTCGTCTGACAATGCTTTAGCTATTAATTCAAAAACCTTAACAGCAAATTCCCCTTCCTGCTTGTGCTTCTTCTCATTTTCTTCCTTGCCACAAGTGCACTGTTCTACCATGTTATGGTCGTTGCGCTGACACACGCACTCCATCTCAACCTCCTTATATGCCCAGGAAATGAAAGTCCTAGCAGACACTGGTTTTGGGAAATTGAAGCGGCACTGTTTTCCACCTTTTTTACAAGTTTTGGAGTGCCGCTTTGAATGCTGCTGCACTGAAGAAACAACCTCATGTAAATCGTCAGTGTTGTTAGGTAGTTCACATGAAACATATTTATCAATAAACTGAACAACCTCATCATCTGTGTTCACATCAATTACAGGGGCATTCTCAATCCAAAACAGACAATGAACGTGTGGAGAGCCACGCTGCTGGAACTCCACCCTGTAAAAGTAGTCGAGGATTTTGCCAATTGGATTTGCTGGAGACATCAACACCTCTTTCAGAAATAGATGCCAGCGATAATCAAACATGCGAGCAGCGAGTACAGGATTACGACGCAACAGGTCGCACTTGTCTGCCCACTCCAGGTCCTCAAATGTCTGTGCTCGCCCCTCTGCCCTAAATATTCCTTCCACCTCAAATCTGCTGCAGAAAATGAACGAAACCATGCAGGTTTGCCAAGCTGTCGCAAGCATGCTAACATATCCTTCTGAATTCCCTGCCAAAATGCTGGAGTACCCCTTACAGGTTTTAAAAACCGGTACCCATCATCATGATTTAAAAGGTCACGCAGGTTGTCTTCATCTTTCAATACATCACTAATCTTTGTTCTAACCTTACTGGCTTTCCCTTTTCTCAACGCAATTGACACACTGGACATGACTTGGTGTAACTCAAGCATGTAACAAGCATAAAAAATAAACTCAATATTCTGTGCAAACCTACCATCAGCATGATATAGCCTGTTGCTCAAATAGCGGAACAGAGTCAGAGAAAATTTTCTGTTATCAAAAAATGTTCCACGGCCTTTTGGAAACAACACGGGGAAACACTTGGCCTCGTTCTCCTTTGTTGTCAAAACCTTCACAGGGTTCTGTCCATCAGCTGGAGCCAAGTTCAAAACACCATCAAAATATTGGTCCAGCGCTTCCTGGCCAATATCAACAGGCATTGAGCATGTGTCTTGAAACATGCAATGCTGCTGTCGATCATGCAGAAGTTCTTCCTCAGCTGCAGCTGCCTCAGCTGTAGATGCCTCAGAGCTCTCTGCATTCGATCCTCCCTGTTCATCAACAATACTCTGCTGCTCTTTGTCAGCACTCTCATCCCTGCAAAATTCATTTATCCAGTCATCATTGAACTGCACATCTTTGTAGAACGGATTGTTCTCTTTCAGATAATGCAGTGCTTTCTTGATATGCATAGGGTCAACATACTCGTATGCATAATGTCCTTTATAAGTAAGCTTGCGCTTCAGTTTAACGGGAATAACTGAACCTTCCATGTTTGAATGTGGCAACGCGTTACTGGTTTGGACAATGTTGGCTGGAACACATGCAATCGGCCCATGAACACCATTTTGACCACCTCTAGGAAGAGCTACCATCTTCAAAAAGGGGATATGGAGTGCAATTAAATGCGACTCTAGGCGATTTAAACAAGCCAACTCAGGTGGAATTGGATCAACGGTCAGATTATTGGATGCGCTCTCAGCTGGCTTGTCACCTTTACTGACCTTGCCATGACATGAATGACAAATCCACAAACTACCACGAGGGGAAGCTTTCAAAACACATGGTACGGCACAAGAAGACACACATTTATGCACATACACATCTTTAATACATCTAGCTGCGACACGAGCTGTATTTGTATTGCTATTGTACTTGTCTATCTTACAACTCGAAACCTGGTGTTTAAACAAAAGTCTATGGCACACACTGCACACAAAGGCTGGCCCATCTTTGATTTTTTCCAAAAACTGCTCAATTACAAAGTCCATCTGTTCTAGTTTTACCTTCCTGTCTAATATTCTAAGTTTCTTAGATTCAAGGAAGTGTTCTGTGTTCTGGTGGTAATTTGTCTTTACTGAATTTATTTTTGTCTGCCTAAATGCAGCTTTTCCATATTTAACCTTACTTATTTCCCTGCTTCTGTGTTTAGTAATTTGTCTGTGGGTATTATCATCCCTATATTTACTTTTGCTTCTGTCCTTGCTTCTGATTTTAACAATTTCTCTGTGGGTAGCATCGTCCCTATATTTAATGTTGCTTCTGTCCTTGCTTCTGTTTTTAACAATTTGTCTATGGGTATAATCGTCCCTATATTTAATGTTGCTTCTGTCCTTGCTTCTGTTTTTAACAATTTCTCTGTGGGTATCATCGTCCCTATACTTAATGTTGCTTCTGTCCTTGCTTCTATTTTTAACAATTTCTCTGTGGGTATCATCGTCCCTATATTTAATGTTGCTTCTGTCCTTGCTTCTATTTTTAACAATTTCTCTGTGGGTATAATCGTCCCTATATTTAATGTTGCTTCTGTCCTTGCTTCTATTTTTAACAATTTCTCTGTAGGTATCATTGTCCCTATATTTAATGTTGCTTCTGTCCTTGCTTCTATTTTTAACAATTTGTCTGTGGGTATCATCGTCTCTATACTTAATCTTGCTTCTGTTTTTAACATCTTCTTTGTGCACCTCATCTAAGTATTTGACCTTACTTAAAGCCTTGAGTTTCTGTTGATACAACAGATTGTGCTTATATCTATTCCTAACATGTTGGTTACGTCCGTTGTAATCCAAAAAGTTTTTGTGGTAGTTAATTTTCATTTGCAAAAACTTCTTCTTTTTAAGATATTTTGACAACCTTTTTTCATGATGTGAAGGACTTAAAATCTGATGACTCTGTTGCTTGAAGTCCTGACATCCTGTCCTGAGGTTATATGGCGCATTTTTGCTCACCTGTGTCAAACCATAGTTGGTACTATGTGCAACAGCACCTTTACAGAAATCACAGCAATCACAGTCCACATTAGGTTGTCGAACACAGACAACAGCCTCATAATGGATGTTATTACAGTTCTCCAAATACACTGCCTGTTCTGATAATTGTCGACCTTGACAGCTGTATTGAAGCCATCGACCGTCAATGTAGGTAAAAATGCTAACCCCGAAACAATCTGCTGCAGCCTGAATCTCCACCTCTGTGGCCCAACTACCCACATATCGCATTCTGGACATGTGAACATATTCTTTGACAGAGGTAAATTCATTTCTCAGAATGTGCTCATATGATCCAGGATGACATTCAATGTGTCAACTGCCAACCTGAGTTTCCTGTGAAACCTCTCACTACCAGACAAAACATGACTCACAGCTCTGAAGAAGCAATTTCCATCGCCGACAATAGGCTGCTTCTTGCATGGAGGTCCTAATATGCCTGCTACAAATCCTTCCATTTCAACTTTCTGACATTCTATCCCTAAAGTGTTGCACAACACTTTGGCAACCTCTAACTGAAGGGGGTTAAACACTAAATCTTGTTGGGCTCCATTACCAACACACATCACATCGTCGTCAGTCTGGCTTATTGCATCATCAATGCACACAACATCATTACTATTATTTGCACTCTTGTTGTTTGTGTCTTTAACAATGAATACATCATCACCAAAATTGTTCGTCTTTGCTCTCTTGGCAGCAGGAGCGTGCACAAAGCGTTGACGTTTCAAGCCTTGCTTCCTATGTACTGATGTACTGGATGAACACCCCTGCTTGGAGTGCGACACTTCCTGTTGTACATCTGCATAGACACTCTTCATTTTGCTCAGTATTTCAGTATGTACTCTTGAGCTGGATGGCAAACACATACTTTCAATTGCTGACATTCTGGGGATTGCACGCACACCAGCAACTTCAAAAGCCTGGTTGCTCACATGCTGTGATGCAGCCAAGGCTAATGCATGTGTATACAGTTCCTGCAAGTTACGGAAATATGCAACAACACTTCTGCCATCAGGATCCACCAGGCCCAAAGCATTTCGAGCATGAGAATCAACAACAGCAAACATATTATTCTCATGAATGACAACACATGTGCTGCAATGCAATGTCAAAAAGCATGTGTCATATTTGTAAAACAGAATTTGTAGACTATGCAGCAATGTTGTCAACCCGGGTGCAATGGGTGACCCATCAGTCTGGTTGATGAGTCCAGACATGTAATCACCATACTCAAAGTCAAATTCCATGCCATCAATTGTGTGTGAAGCAGGCAAATCTGGAATACACAAAAAATCACTCCCGCCACTGATTTTGTCGTTATCTCGCAGATATGTGTACAGTTGATCCCCACAGAGCAAAGCTGTGTCAAGATCATGCACACCCCATGAGAAAACGCTTTTGACACTGTGTTTGGCAACGCTGGCCAGCCCAATTGCCATACACTGTGTTCCGTGATAACTTAATAAATCACTTCCCTGGTGAAATGATCCTTGGACACTGTCTCTTACCCAACCTGGGTCAGACATCTCACCCTCAATCTCAGTGCACAGAAACTGTACTGCCTCAGTCTCCATACTGCTAACCTGCACAGGTGAGCGATCAAAATCACCAAACACAAGAGGGGGGAAAAGAAGACGTTTACGCATACTTACCTGTTCCACCTGGGTGTCTCCCTCTGGCTGAGGTGCTGACAGGATGGTAGCGTTCACCGTCACCACGCCCGGGCACGTCTGGAGCTCTGCCACCCTCTCCAAGCCCACCTCAGGGGAAGTGACTTCTGTAGCAGGAGGCACCTCAGTCGTCTGCAGCTCGGCTGGGCTCTGGACACCCAAGGCCCTTCCCTGCACACAAAAGTTTGTGCATAAATATATTGTCATTGATAAAAAGGGCAAATTGTAAAAAACTTTACTTTTATAGTTGAAAGTAGAATCATTAACTGATAATACTAACATCTTATTTGTGAATGAATAAAGAAAAATTTTTTTTGAAATTAAGGGCCAAGTAACATTTCTCAATGTTATTATTTCAGTTCTGTATGTTAAACTTGGTTTAGATGCAAACATAGCTCTGCGTGCTTGCATATTAATACACCATGTGTGCCAATGAAGAAACAAACCTGCTTCCTGGCAGGGATCCTTCGAGATGCAACCACAGTCCTGCGTGGTTCCACACGTGGCATCTGAATGAAGAAATATTTCTTATAAGAATTGTTGTTGTGCAACACAAAACATTTTATGAATGAACAGTCAAAGTGCTGCTGTAGTTTGACATTTTCACTGACCTCATCATCTTGTGGAACAGGGTTGGGAAGCTGGGACGGCGAAATCTTCTCCATGGCATCCATCAGGTGTGCACTGAAATGGATAGGGTTGAGACGCACAAAACAGTCTCGCAACCCAACTGTTGACAACTAGGATGAGAAGGAGAGAGAAAAAAAATATAGAATAAATAAAGTAATACTTTAGAAAAGGGTTGCTTTTCAAAGAAAATGTGTGTAATCCATACAGAAATTCTGATGATTGTGGTTTTGTATGATAGTTGTGTCATAAAAAGGATGACAAACCTGCTGCGTGCATGGAGCAGAGTCCTCCACCTCGTTGCCAGAGAGATTCTGCTGTGATAAGTAAGTTGAGAATTTACAATACTGTATTAAATACATATACTATATGTATATACAAACACAGGAATTATGTTTACCTTGTGCACCTTTCCACACACCGTCCACTCAAAGGGGTTGGATGGTTCAGGTGCAGGTACCTCTCCCCTCACAACCACCTTTGGTGTGACAGTGCTCGGGGGGGGGGAGCGCCTGCGCTGCACTGACAGCACCGATGCAGGATCACCTCTCTCCAGTTCAGTGTAGGCCGCCTGCCAGAGACGCTGCCCCAGAATAGGCGACCCACTATCATCACTGAGATGGACCTATATAGAAGACAAGACAATTTTCATGATCACAAATTTGCATGATGCAAAAATTTGTGCATTTATTATGAAGTCCATATGAAACATCAGATGAGTAGGGATTGTACTAACAGAATCCCTGCACCACAGCTTGAGGCGTCTCAGGGGGAAGTCATCAGCAGCAGGGCAAACATATCGAATGCCTGTTAATGTAAAGTGAGACAAAGTGAAGCATTAGTACAGATGTGTGTATTTTACTACAAACAGAAAAGACAATTATTCTTTCACTGTGTCCATAAAATGTACAGAGTTGTGAGTTATTCTAAAAAATACATGTAATTTGTTTGTGTTTTCTGTAGATGTTTTATATGATTGGTTTTATGATGATATTATTGTCATTTAGAATTTTGTCATGACGCAAATTTAAAGTGTTGTAAAACATACCCATACGTGCTGCGACTCGACGGAATTCCTGCCGCAGCAGCTCCTGATGATCTAAAGGGTGGTTCAGGCGAGGTGGAAAGTCATACACAATTACCTGTTAAAATAGCAAACACACCAGAAGGACAAAAAACACAACAGTTATTACAGAGCATAACTACAAATTGAGACACTACAAAATGTGTTAATGACATCATAGCCCCACCTTGAACCACCTTCCAACAGCAGTGGAGAGAAGTTTAGCAAAATCTGTTGACGACTTCTCAAGAGACCCTTGGGTTGTGAGGTTGTTGCTAGGAGCCATGACGATGACCAAGTCAGGATTGCGAGGCACAACAGCATGTACCATCTCAGTCCTCAGTCCATCAGCGCAGGCCCCTGGTGTGGACATGAACCCAAAGGACATCTGTCCTTCAGGCAATGGCACAACCCCATCAACAAATGGGCGCAGGTGAGAGTCACCGACGATAAGAACAAACTAGGATGAAAAAGGGAGAAATACTAATTAAATACTGTATCAGCTGAAATATGTGTTGTGAGGGTAAAAAATAATGTCAGTATCATACCTTCTTGTCAGGAACCTCAGGAGGAATGACCAATTTGTGTTGCCGACCAGTCAACACAGATATTGGCCACTGGTTAACGCGATGGCGATAACCAGTCCCGACAGTGCCTATTACACAGATAACATTGACATGTATTATTGTAAAATGTAAACAGTAAACCTGATTTGGATGTGTTTTTTCCAAGATACAAAAAATAAGACACTGTTACCAATATAGTGCGTGAAGAAAAAATGATACATTTAAAAGAAAATGTTACACACCTGTAGGCACGTCATCACTGTGGCCTTGTGGACCAACAATCAGGAACTCGCGCTGAGCGCAGCGCCTGGTTGCAGCCTGTGATTGACGCCAACCCTTCAGTTTTGGCATCTGAAAGTATGATAATACATGTAATACCTATTATATTTGTAAAACTTCATATCAAAATTGAAACATGTGTGTTTTGTTATATAAGCACCAAAAAATACAAAAAGAATAACTAAACAGTGAGGCTAACACATTTTGGTTGCACACTAGCTACTTTGTTAGCGACGCTGTGTAAACATCAAATCAGCACGCCTATGTTGGCCACAGCAGTTTTGTTAGCATCACGTTTAAGCAGAAGTTCTCCCTCAACAACGGCAAAACACCACAATAAGCCAAAAAACACAGATACAGATCGCAAAACAAGACAATAGCCCCTCTGCGATGCCGACGCAGACAGCGAAACAAGAAAATAATTGCACTGCAATGTGGACACAGACCGCAAAACCAGAAAAGAGCACGTCTGCGATGCAGACACAGAACGCGAATCAAGAAAATAGACTACCACCACCACCGTCAAATGCTAAATTATGATTTCCAAGAATTTATTGAAGTCACAGAGTAACGAAGTTACAACTAGCTTACTGTTTACACAGCGCCGCTAACAAGTTGCACACCAGCTACTTTGTTAGCAGCACTGTGTAAACATCAAATCAGCACGCCTATGTTAGCCACAGCAGTTTCGTTAGCATGCATGTTTAAGCAAAAGTTCTCCCTCAACAACGGCAAAACACCACAATAAGCCTAAAAACACAGACACAGATCGCAAAATCAGACAATAGCCCCTCTGTGATGCCGACGCAGACAGCGAAACAAGAAAATAATTGCACTGCAATGTGGACACAGACCTCAAAACCAGAAAATAGCTCGTCTGCGATGCAGACACAGAACGCAAATCAAGAAAATAGACTACCACCACGACGATAAAATGCTAAATTATGATTTCCAAGAATTCAGTGAAGTCACAGAATAACGAAGTTACAACTAGCTTACTGTTTACACAGCGCCGCTAACAGTGTTGCACACTAGCTACTTTGTTTGCAGCGCTGTGTAAACATCAAATCAACACGCCTATGTTAGCCACAACAGTTTTGTTAGCATGCATGTTTAAGCAGAAGTTCTCCCTCAACAACGGCAAAACACCACAATAAGCCTAAAAACACAGACACAGATCGCAAAATCAGACAATAGCCCCTCTGCGATGCCGACGCAGACAGCGAAACAAGAAAATAATTGCACTGCAATGTGGACACAGACCGCAAAACCAGAAAAGAGCACGTCTGCGATGCAGACACAGAACGCAAATCAAGAAAATAGACTACCACCACCACCGTCAAATGCTAAATTATGATTTCCAAGAATTTATTGAAGTCACAGAATAACGAAGTTACAACTAGCTAACTGTTTACACAGCGCCGTTAACAAGTTTCACACTAGCTACTTTGTTAGCAGCGCTGTGTAACATCAAATCAGCACGCCTATGTTAGCCACAACAGTTTTGTTAGCATGCATGTTTAAGCAAAAGTTCTCCCTCAACAACGGCAAAACACCACAATACGCCTAAAAACACACATACAGATCGCAAAACCAGACAATAGCCCCTCTGCGATGCCGATGCAGACAGCGAAACAAGAAAATAATTGCACTGCAATGTGGACACAGACCGCAAAACCAGAAAATAGCTCGTCTGCGATGCAGACACAGAAAGCAAATCAAGAAAATAGACTACCACCACCACCATAAAATGCTAAATTATGATTTCCAAGAATTCAGTGAAGTCACAGAATAACGAAGTTACAACTAGCTTACTGTTTACACAGCGCCGCTAACAGTGTTGCATAGTAGCTACTTTGTTTGCAGCGCTGTGTAAACATCAAATCAACACGCCTATGTTAGCCACAACAGTTTTGTTAGCATGCATGTTTAAGCAGAAGTTCTCCCTCAACAACGGCAAAACACCACAATAAGCCTAAAAACACAGACACAGATCGCAAAATCAGACAAAAGCCCCTCTGCGATGCCGACGCAGACAGCGAAACAAGAAAATAATTGCACTGCAATGTGGACACAGACCGCAAAACCAGAAAAGAGCACGTCTGCGATGCAGACACAGAACGCAAATCAAGAAAATAGACTACCACCACCACCGTCAAATGCTAAATTATGATTTCCAAGAATTTATTGGTCACAGAATAACGAAGTTACAACTAGCTAACTGTTTACACAGCGCCGTTAACAAGTTTCACACTAGCTACTTTGTTAGCAGCGCTGTGTAACATCAAATCAGCACGCCTATGTTAGCCACAACAGTTTTGTTAGCATGCATGTTTAAGCAAAAGTTCTCCCTCAACAACGGCAAAACACCACAATACGCCTAAAAACACACATACAGATCGCAAAACCAGACAATAGCCCCTCTGCGATGCCGATGCAGACAGCGAAACAAGAAAATAATTGCACTGCAATGTGGACACAGACCGCAAAACCAGAAAATAGCTCGTCTGCGATGCAGACACAGAAAGCAAATCAAGAAAATAGACTACCACCACCACCATAAAATGCTAAATTATGATTTCCAAGAATTCAGTGAAGTCACAGAATAACGAAGTTACAACTAGCTTACTGTTTACACAGCGCCGCTAACAGTGTTGCATAGTAGCTACTTTGTTTGCAGCGCTGTGTAAACATCAAATCAACACGCCTATGTTAGCCACAACAGTTTTGTTAGCATGCATGTTTAAGCAGAAGTTCTCCCTCAACAACGGCAAAACACCACAATAAGCCTAAAAACACAGACACAGATCGCAAAATCAGACAAAAGCCCCTCTGCGATGCCGACGCAGACAGCGAAACAAGAAAATAATTGCACTGCAATGTGGACACAGACCGCAAAACCAGAAAAGAGCACGTCTGCGATGCAGACACAGAACGCAAATCAAGAAAATAGACTACCACCACCACCGTCAAATGCTAAATTATGATTTCCAAGAATTTATTGAAGTCACAGAATAACGAAGTTACAACTAGCTAACTGTTTACACAGCGCCGTTAACAAGTTTCACACTAGCTACTTTGTTAGCAGCGCTGTGTAACATCAAATCAGCACGCCTATGTTAGCCACAACAGTTTTGTTAGCATGCATGTTTAAGCAAAAGTTCTCCCTCAACAACGGCAAAACACCACAATAAGCCTAAAAACACACATACGGATCGCAAAACCAGACAAGAGCCCCTCTGCGATGCTGACGCAGACAGCGAAACAAGACAATAATTGCACTGCAATGTGGACACAGACCGCAAAATCAGACAATAGTCCCTCTGTGATGCGGACAAAGAACGCGAAACAACACAATAAACTTCCGCCACCACCACAAAATGCTAAATTGTGATCTAAGAGAGTGCAGTGAAGTCACAGAATAACGAAGTTACAACTAGCTTGGTGTTTACACAGGGCCGCTAACAGAGTAGCACACTAGCAACTTTGTTAGCGGCCCTGTGTTAACAAATCAGCACACCTATCTTAGCCACAACAGTTTTGTTAGCATGCATGTTTGAGCAAAAGTTCTCCCTCAACAACAGCAAAACACAACAAATAAGCTGATAACACATGACTTACCGTACTGAAGTTGTAACAGACGAGATGAGCAGCCGTTCCGTGGATAGGTGGAATAAAAGAAAGTCAAACTCAGCCGAGGTTGACCGTGAGAATTTGTGTGTTGTGTGTGTGTGTGTTTGTTAAATGTGAAAGATGTACTGGAAGATGTGTGTTTGTAGATGTGTATCAGTGAAGCGTGTAAAAAATCTTCAAAAACAGATTTGCTCGTAAAACTCGCTCTCTGTCGAAGGTAGTCTGTTATCCTCAAGGGATCAGTCAGACGAAGCGAGCGACGAAAATACTGGAAAATAAAGAGGAGCTCGACCAATCAAAAAACTGGATTTAATGACTTGCGACTGAGGTTACAGTCAGAGCCAATAAGAACAGCACACCTTTCGGTGGGCTCCGCCCAGCCCTCCCTCTCCTCCATAGCTACAGTTGCTAAGCGAGTAGACGCTTAGCACAAGCGACGTTGAACAAAATGGCGGCGGCTCTACTTTGCACATGAAAATGAGTGCTGTAGCTGATGTTTTCATTGATTAATGTTTGAGAAAAAGCTTAAATATCTCACAGAAGTTCTACCAACAAGCCCTGCAATATGCAGTGGAAGAATTACGCATATTATTCAGTTTTGTTCGAACAAAATAGGAGTTTTGCATGGTAGTGAGGTCGAACGTGAACAAAGCGCAGTGATTCAGTAGGATGTTGTGCGATCCAGAATTTGAAGCCTTTTACATGTTTTAGTCCGATTACGGTACAATCTCAATACAGGTGTAAAGGCGGTCTGTTGCAGAGCTACCAAATACTTTATTGTAGCTCATTTCGTAGTATTGCTGTTATACTGACAACTTTTATCACGGACTAGTTCGCTCTTGGCGGAATTACACCTTCTCGAAGTGGTTACACGGAGGATCACGTGAGTGGGCACGTGAAAGGGCTCATGTGATTCTGTATTATTGTCACAGAGTCAATCGGCGTTACCGAGACTGATAAACCACATGAAATGTATTACTTACATTAAATTTCAGCGACCAATTTTCTTGTGAAATACTCAATAAGACCCAGGCTTTAAGATCTGAAGGTGGGTTTTCTTTTTGTTTGTTTCGTATTAGTGTTTTGACCGGATATGGCGAAAACACTGACTACGCTCCCAAGATGAAAGTAGTCCCATAGATCGAAATCAGTTCTGCAACCTCCAGTTATCATTTTGAATAATGAACTCTTGAATTGTGGATTAATATTGATTATCTGACTTCGGTCTATATGTAGACGTTAAAAGGACGTATAATTGTTTATGTCTAAATCACGTCTAAAAAAAAACCGAATCCTGACGTTGAAATGGAGTATAAATTTATGCGTGTAAATACTCTTTACATCTATACTATGCTCAGGCAGGGATTATACCTTCTGTAACCCCTAAACTAAGCAAACCTAATAGCCCCCCCTATCCCACACGCGCAAAAAATGCATTTTTTAGTAGTAATTTGGTCGAATTTACTGCAGTTATGGGTGGTTATGTAACCTTTCCACTAGCCACCAGCTGTAGCCAAAATACTGGGTGAACACAATTTATTTTCATATGCTAGAGAAACTGATAAATGTGAATTGGAGTATAAATGTATGCGTCTAAATACTCTTTACATCTATACTATACTCAGGCCCGGATTATACCTTCTGTAACCCCTAAACTAAGCAAACCTGATAGACGTCTAATATCGGTCTTTTACTCGGTGGAAGAGTCGCTGCCATTTTCAACGCCGATTTACAGAGTTTCTACCTCAAAAGAGCCTACCGACAGGTTTATTTGTAACGCTGTAATAACCGAACATAGAAATACACAAACAAAGAAAAACTAAACCTGTCAGAAAGTGTTGTAGTGGGCATCTGGTAATGACGTTGAAGTGTTAGCAAATATATATATATATATATTTCTATGTATACAATTGCATTGTCACATGTTCATTAGGTAAGGGAGTGTGTTACATTGTGACGTGTTCATCAGCGCAGTGTGTGATTGGCTGGGGTGCCGTTACATTGTGACGTGTTCATCAGTGCAGTGTGTGATTGGCTGGGGTGCCTGCTTAACAGTTCAGTGTCTTTAAAACAGAACTGTAAAGCTACACCAATTCAGTAGCTGTAAAGCAGAACTGTGAACCTGTACCTACGAGGAACAACGGTGGAAACTACAGTAAGTACAATTTTTCTCCGTGTTGTTTAAGTGTTATCTAAACGGATGATGTGCTATTGATGTAATGTTGCAAACATGTTTTATTTTTTTTTTATTTTGCAGATGGCCTCACCTGTAAAACTGCCTGCTGGTGCTACTGAAAACTTCGACGTAAGGGAGATCAGACTCCGTTTTCAGGTTTTATCGGTAAGTAAATGAAAGCACAAACAAATTATGTAAATTGTACTTTATAGTAACACGACTAAAGTAGTGCATTTAAATTATTTGGATTGGATTGGAGAATGAAGTTCTTATGCAAAGTTTGTGTTTGGCAATTAAAAAGTTGTACGGGATCTGATTTGACTGTTATCATGTGTTGTGGTGTATTATCTAGTGACGTGAAGATCATTTTATTGGTAAAACATTTTTGAATATATATAGTGGTAGGTATTCCGGTATTGAGGACATGATGAAGAACAATGTTTTTGTGTGAACACAGTAATACGGAAATTCTTTGTTATTACGTAGGTAGCAGCTGCATTGCTCACTATACAGATGTATGTGCATCAGAGCATAGATTCTGTAGATGTAGGAGTTACATTAAATGATTTGCATGTTAATTATGTGTCTATTATTGTTCTGATGAAAGTAAATGTAAGATTTGTGGTTAAATGTGTGTGCTGTTGTGGAGCATCTTGAAAACTTAAATATTATGCAACTGGACTGTGTGAAATTCAGAAAACATTGGCTACTTATCCAAGAAGCTTCTCTATTTCAGAATTGCTAATGTGAATGTGTGTGTTTTACTGAGGGGCCCAGAAAACAACTGGGAGGTGTTGGGTCGTCAACTCTGGGTGTGTCCCCTTTTAATTTAATTGTTAACCTGAAAGAGTTAACAACTTAGAGAAAGCCCTCAATGACCACACCCAGGGTATTTTCAATGACAACACACAGGGTATTTCATTCCAGGTGGAGTCTGAATGTTATGTCCTAAAGTGGTTTTTTAGGTTCAAATGACCATAATTTGTGTTTTTGATGATGTTGTTATGATTAATTATTCCTTTTTGTTTTTTGTTTCAGTATGCAATAAAGGACGAAACCCTAGACAGGATGGCCATCTTCCATGAAAGTATGGCGTGCAATACTTTTGCACTCACGACAACAGCAAGGATGGCACGCCAACTAAAAGCAGCAGAAGAACGCTCTGCTTATCTTGAAAGAGCAATGACAACTCAAAAAGAGGAAATTGCTCGCTTAAAAGACACCAACCTCACTCTATCAAAGCAGTTAGAGGCAGCCCAAGTGGGTCTTGACAGCATGTGTAAGTATTTATCAGTCATGTTTGTCTTTATATAGGTGAAAATTATAATGTTTTATTGAACACGTTGAATAAATGTAATATGTAATTCATTTATTGCAGAAGTAATTGTTGTATTTTTATGTGTGTAATTTCTTTTTGACTGTTTTGAGTCATATGAATTTTTTGGTGTATGTGTTGTGATGTATGTGGTCAGTCTATCAATAATTGATTAAGTGTTATTTTAAATGTGTTTAGGTGAAGCTGTTGGTTTTTTTGATGATGAAGACAGGGCTGGTGAGAGTGCCAGCAAAATCTCAGGATTGCAAAGTATGTGGCATTGTTTGTAATTACAAAGATGAAGAAGCCGATAGAATTCAAAATGTGGGGACAACAATAAGGTGATGTGTGTGTGTTCATTGTACACATGTGGGAATGTTGCATGTCCTGTTTTTATGTAAACTGAAAGTGATAATTTAAAACATTATTAACATTGATTTGAATCATTTTTAGGTATACCACCAGTGGAAGCAGCTGACAAAGACCTCACCTCAGCTGAGAAAACAATTGCTGGTGTCCTTGACGTAGTAGAGGAGGGGTGCACATTAGATGATAACTGTGACTCTGAAGAAGTGGGAGACATGTCGTTTTTTTTAGATCCATTGTAGTTAATTGTTGATTATGTGTGATTTTATGTTTACTGTGTGTAGTCGTGTGGGTGATTTTATGTTTATTATGTGTAAATTTTTTTAAATATTTTAGTTATTGACGTTATTAGAAGTTCAGTTTGTGGCTGTAGCCTATATTTCTTAATTATGTAAATAAAGGATTGTTCTGTAACCCTTAAGTGCCCCTTAAAATTTACTGACACTTGCTACACTCGTGGTCAAACATTCATATGTCTGTTTACTTTAAGGCATTATATCTTGTCAACAACTTCAGGCCTATCCACACATATAAAGGTTATTTAAAAAATATATATTTTTTAGGTCTTCTGTCGTGAGAACCCATGATTTTTGTGAGGAGAAAAACTAAAAATAAACAATAATTCCAAAAATGAGGTGCAAAGTGAAAGATTTTGGATAAATATATAACAGCCCTGACTATGTCAACAACTGATAAAAATATTGATTGTGTTGTATAATTACAAGTGCACAATCACAGTTTCCAGTATAAACTTATACTGCTTACCCTCATGCCAAAAAATAGACTTCTTATAATCTTATAAAAGTGGGGTGAAAAACTGATACATCCCTTTTTTTCTTTTGCTTTAAATCATTATATCATGACCTATCCATATATGTAAAGTGTATTGAAAAATATAGATATCAATTTTTTTTTAGGTTTTTAGTCATTTTTATCTAGTAAACCCCTGATTTTTTAATTGGAATAACACAAAAAATGCAATAATTCCTAAAATGAGGTGCACAGTCTTATAACAGTGCAGTAAAAACATCATACATGCATGTTTAGCTACTTTAAAGCATTATACAGTGTTGGAAAAGTTTGGAATATTTGTCAATTCAACCCCAGCCTCGTGTTTAACGCGGTCTGCTGCTTTCTGGAGAATTATTCAAAGACTTTTTACTGTTCCCTGGTCTCTGTGATATGTTTTTGAAATTCACATCAAACACCTTTGTTTCTCAAAAAATTGTAGGGCGGACACCTCATGATTCACAAAAAGCCATAGAAATAACGCATAAAATCATGAGTCAGTATTTAATAAATAAACGGCTGTACTTTTAAATTGCCACAAAATACGTGGACCATCTTTGAAAGCAACATCAGACATAACAAAACGATAACAACTATACAGTCAGTACTTTGTGTGACCACCTCTAACATTGTACAATGCGCGTACACATCTAGGCATGCTGGTCACTAGGTTGGTAGAAGTTTCAACTCGGATTTCTCGCCAGCATTGGATCACAGCCTGAGTCAGTTCAGTCACGTTTGTTGGAGGATCATTCACGTTACACGAAACACTGTAGAAAATATTCCAAACTTTTTTCCAACACTGTATCTAGTCAACAACTTCAGACTTATCCATAGATATCAAATGTATTACAATAAATTTGTAGATTTTCACATTTTTAGTGCCTTTGTCGTGACATCCCCTGCTTTTTCACTGTGAAAAAAACCGACTATTTGATTTTCCTCATTTCCAAAAATGAGGTGCAAAGTGAAATATCTGTGATAAAGTTTTTTGATAAAAATATTAATTGTAATGCATAATAACGTTTTGCACATAAAATATTCAAACTCCTCCTTCTCCTATTTGTTTCCCCTTCTCAAATTGCATTATCCCTCTATGTCCGACAAATATTTCTCCCCTAAATCCTCCTGGCTCATGCACACAAATAGTGCTTTGAGGTGCTTGAACGCCTGCCCTTTTTGACTTATATTAAACTTCCCTTTTTTTAATTCTTTCAATAACTCCTGGTTTAAATTGCATTATCCCTCTATGTCTGACAAATACTTCTCCCCTGAATCCTCCTGGCTCATACACACAAAGAGTGCTCTGAGGTGCTTGAACCCCTGCCCTTTTTGACTTGTATTAAACTTCCCATTTTTAATTCTTTTAATAACTCCTGTATGAAAGTTAAAAAAGCACAACAAAAACATGGTTCAAAAACTCCACAGCATTCTACAATATCCATTTTCTTGTGATACTATTTTTGTGTGAGATGACTCTGAAACTTCTCTGTCTCTTGCACCTCCACTCTGTCATAGAACCACCTGAGACATGGTGGATCAATTCAGCACAGAGCAGATCATGTCAGAGAGGAAATCCTGTACAAAATACAAAATAAAACACCAACTTCACTCTGCGACTCTGTTCTGTTACATACTAATAAACCATTGACTTTTTCGTAGATCTTATTGAAATACACGTGTATGTAAAATTTTGTGTCAATACGACAAAACATACAGGCGTAGCACTCAACAATGTGTATTTTCACCTTAGTGGACCAGAAAAAAAGGACTTTTTTTTCCTGCCATGGGGGGGCGCTCTTTTGGGGAGTAAAAATTCCTTAACAAATGTGTTGATGGCTGGACATTGCATCATCCTAGAAAACTTGGAGGCCAGTGGGGACAACAATAAAAAGTTAAAAGACTTTTAAATATGTGGATTTTAGGGTTATCTTTGGCGCCCCCTAGAACCTAAACCGTGGGGTGCAGTGTCATGATTTGAATAACTTTTAATGACCATGGGGTGTAGATTGGCCTGAGCAAATGTGGTGCCAGTGGAACGAAAGCCTTCGGAGGAGTAAGCCACATTCCAATGTGTGCGGATCGACAAAAATTGCAGAATAACCCTTTAACCGTAGAATTGACAGATACGCGCGCATTGACTTTTTCGTAGATCTTATTGAGATACATGTGTGTGTCAATTTTTGTGTCATTTTGCCAAAGCATACAGGCGTGACACTATACAATGTGTATTTTCACCTTAGGGGACAAGAAAAAACCGACTTTTTTCTCCTGCCATGGGGGGGGGGGGCGCTCTTTTGGGGAGAAAAAATTCCTTCACAAATGTGTTGATGGCTGGACATTGCATCATCCTAGAAAACTTGGAGGCCAGTGAGGGCAAAAATAAAAAGTTATAAGACTTTGAAATATGTGGATCTTAGGGTTATCTTTGGCGCCCCCTAGAACCTAAACCGTGGGGTGCAGCGTCATGATTTGAATAACTTTTAATGGCCATGGGGTGTAGATTGGCCTGAGCAAATGTGGTGCCGGTGGAACGAAAGCCTTCGGAGGAGTTAGCGAAATTCCAATGTGTGCGGATCAGCAAAAAAAGCGAAACTAGGACCCCGTTGGGGCACTGGCGGGCCCGAGCTGTGTCGCGTCCCCCCCCCAACGCGCTGCCTCCCCGTCCCATTTGTGTCCTCTGGCCATCGTCCTCTCTGGTAACGCCCATCACTGCAAAGACCCTTTTCCTTCATCGGCGTTTGCTGTTCTTCCTGCCAGTGCGTGTTGCTTTCACTTACACTTGCCACAGCCAGCCTCTTGAGTGCCTAGCCTATTGGATATCACTGTCACCTACTCAGGACAGTCATTACCTTTCTATTAATACTTTGTTTTTTAATTTCACATTAATTTCCATATTGTATAAACAACTGGAAAAAACTTGAGCCCCTGCCCCTGTATAATCATGTGCATGTCTCTGTTCTAGCTCTAAGGTGAATCTTCACTGCTCATGTTCTCCTCAGAAGCAGTCACCTCACTCCCCTCAGGTTACTGTACACATGCACCAACTGCCTGCTTCAGGTTTGGATGGAGCTTCATGGTTGTCTTTTGGAGAAATGACCAGTCAAGTTGTGTTTGAAATTTGATTTTTTTCAGGGGCAAAAGGAGCCTCTGCATTCTTGTCAAATATGTAAATAGCATGTTTTTGCAGGTGCTAAAAACCAGACTCTGAGTGTGTGTGTGTGTGTGCGTGTGTGTGTGTGTCTGTGTGTGTGTGTGTGTGCGTTCAAGTCACATGACATATTTAACCGGATGTAGCTGCAAGACGGAGCCTCGTTGACTCCGTTTCAACTTATCTCAAAAGTGAGGACCTCAACCTATATACCAGTTTTTAAATTGTGTTGATAGGCCAAATAAAACCAGAGTTATGATAAATTATGTCCGCGATACTTGTTTTCTGCTTATTTTGATCACGTTCGGCGCTCGATCGCGCTGTATGAGACAGGAAAACATAGCATGCAGACATTAGCGACAGGTCTTACAGGCGGAAAAGGCTTGCCAAAGGAAAAAAAAAACACACCACAACATCTCTCCTATTGGTGGAAAACTTCACCACAACAACCAATCCAAAATTATATGGTGACTGATTGACACGGGACGGGCGCTCGCGTTCTTCCTGCAAGTTGAGAAGGGAGGGAGGGACTCTCAGCAGGGATGCAGTCTGGGACACGTAGTTGCAAACCTAGCGACTTTGTTGTTAGATTCAATGACTTTTCAGACCCCCTAATGACTTTTTTTTTGAAAGAAAGGGACTTTTATCGACTTCTTCTGGAGTTCTGGAGTTTAGAGACTCTGACATGAAGCAGGCTTTCCTTACTGAGGAGTTAGCAACGCTGCTAAGGGTGCAGAGCCACACATGCGCTCCGAGCTCTGCATGGGAGACTGAAGCTGACAGAGCTGCAGCAGTTAGCAGGTTTCACCCTCAGAGACCACCAGGGGTTCATGTTGAGGCATTTTCAATTTTTATTTTTTTTTTTGCCATTGACACTGTCAGCACAATCTGCAGTTACACTAACAAAAATGCTGCAAAAAACAAAGAATTATGGAAAAATTACACATGGACTAACATAGAGGAGGATCTACACAAGTTTTTTACATCATGTTTTACATCATGCATCATTTACATCATTTTTTGTAGTGGCATAAATAAAAAGTGACATTTGTGAGACTATACAGTGTTTTGTAAATAATTTTACAAAGAACGCCTGGGCCATTGCCTGCATTTTGATGTAAATAGAGGTAAATTACTATGTTGTTGTTAAAAATTTGCATATGTTTTGAAGTTTACAATTTTTATTTGAAGTTTAAGTTTTAAAAACAGTTCATCACACATATTTGTGGTTTTCACAGTAAAAATGTTACTTTTTTCCACTCGGATTTTATGTTTTGTGTGTGAATTTGGGTCCATTGTGTAAATACAGTATGTGAAAATGATAAAATAACTGTAAATTCACACAGGTGAGGTTGTGCTGAAAAAAATGATACCAGGCAAGGCAAGGTAAAAAGTTTTTAAGAGGAAATATAAAGGTAAAATCTAAAGTAGTCAAAAACGGCCAATAGTGACTCACAGACGCCATAGACAAGTCCCTTTGGCGCCACTCAGTGGCCAAAACGACTTTGAAGAAAGTGGATTTTTGGGTCATCTTTGGCGCCCCCTAGAACGTGAACCGTGGGGTGCAGCGTCATGATTTTTACAACTTTGAATGGCCATGGGGTGTAGATTGGCCTGAGCAAATTTGGTGTCAGTGGGACGAAAGCCTTAGGAGGAGTTAGCCACATTCCAATGTGTGCGAATCGCCAAAAAATGCTAAATAGCCCTTTAACCGTAAATTTGACAGATACGCCCGCACTGACTTTTTCGTAGATCTTATTGAGATACACGTGATTGTCAAATTTTGTGTCAATATGACAAAGCGTACAGGCGTGAATCTAAACAATATGTATTTTCACCTTAGGGGACAAGAAAAAATGGACTTTTTTCTCCTGCCATGGGGGGGGGGGGGGGGGGGGCGCTCTTTTGGGGAGTAAAAATTCCTTCACAAATGTGTTGATGGCTGGACATTGCATCATCCTAGAAAACTTGGAGGCCAGTGAGGAGAAAAATAAAAAGTTATAAGACTTTTAAGAATGTGGATTTTTGGGTTATCTTTGGCGCCCCCTAGAACCTAAACCGTGGGGTGCAGCGTCATGATTTGTACAACTTTTAATGGCCATGGGGTGTAGATTGGCCTGAGCAAATGTGGTGCTGGTGGAACGAAAGCCTTCGGAGGAGTTAGCGAAATTCCAATGTGTGCGGATCGGCAAAAAATGCGAAATAACCCTTTAACCGTACATTTGACAGATACGCCCGCACTGACTTTTTCGTGGATCTTATTCAGATACACGTGTGTGTCAAATTTTGTGTCATTTTGACAAAGCGTACAGGCGTCAGGTGAATTTTTTACCTTAGGGGGCGCTATGGAGCCATTTTGCATTTTATTGTTTGGCCGACTTCAGAATGTCGAATTTTTCACCTGCCAAATTTCATGAGTTTTCGCCAGTGGGAAGTGGGGCATTTTCCAGTTCAAAGGGGCAGAAAAAGAAGAAGAAAGAAGAATCCATCAGGAACAACAGGGCTCTCGCAGCTGCTTAGCAGCTACGCTCGGGCCCTAAAGAAAGAAAGAAAGAAACAAACAAAGAAAAAAACACTACAGGAATAATAGGGCTCTACGCCCGGCTGCTCTGCAGCTGGCTCGGGCCCTAAGAAAGAAAGAAAGAAAGAAACAAAGAAAAAACCACTACAGGAATAATAGGGCTCTACGCCCGGCTGCTCTGCAGCTGGCTCGGGCCCTAAAGAAGAAGAAGAAGACTAGGGCCCCGTTGGGGCACTGGCGGGCCCGAGCCGTGTCGCGCCGCCCCCAGCGCGACCGCCTCCCCCTCCCGATCGCGTCACACTCAAGGTCCAAAGATGGTGTGCGCACTTGTCTGTGGTCATTTACCATTATAATGAATGAGAGGCGCAGTTTCTACCAAAACGCTCGCTGCAGACAAACTCCATGTCCTTTTTGAAAAACGTCTGGACCATGAGTGAGGGCACAAACACAGCTAGGATATATCCAAATGGCAAGTTGCTCCTCCTTTCGGTTTTGCAGAGAGAGCGATGCGTTTGAGCCATTGAGCGATGGGCAGGAAAAACTTGACTTTTTCTCCTGCCATGGGGGGTAAGGAAAATGACCATTTTTTTTTATCAAACATTATAAAAAACTGGTTATCTCTTGCAGGGCATCAAAGTCTTGAATATGTGAGAGTTTAGTAATATGATTGACTTTGATGCCTTTTAACTTTTTCTGTAGCATTAGATTTAATAGACAACTCCCTTTGGCGCCCCTCAGTGGCCCAAATGACTTTGTCTGCTGTAAAATCAAATTGGATTGATATTTTTCGAGATTTTTCTTTGTATATCTCTTTTTTTACTTCTGCCCTGTTCACAACTAGCAAATGTTTCATTGAAAATATTTTTTCTACCCTTTAAGAGCCCATTTAAGACATAAAGTCACTAATAAAGCAAAAATTTGAGCCTTTTTAGGGCCCGAGCGTAGCTGCTAAGCAGCTGCGAGAGCCCTATTGTTCCTGTATGGGTTTTTCTTTCTTCTTTCTTTCTTTCTTCTTATTTTTCCTCCTCTTTGAAGGGGAAAATGGCCCACTTCCCACTGGCGAAAACTCATGAAATTTGGCAGGACGACCAGGCCTGGTGAAAAATTCGATATTTTGAAGTCGCCCAAATAATAAAATGCAAAATGGCTCCATAGCGCCCCCTAAGGTGAAAATTCACACTATTGACTGTCACGCCTGTACGCTTTGTCATATTGACACAAAAATTGACACACACATGTATCTCAATAAGATCTACAAAAAAGTCAGTGCGGGAATATCTGTCAAATTTACGGTTAAAGGGTTATTTCACATTTTTTGCAGATCCGCACACATTGGAATTTCGCTAACTCCTCCGAAGGCTTTCGTTCCACCGGCACCACATTTGCTCAGGCCAATCTACACTCCATGGCCATTAAAAGTTGTACAAATATAACCCAAAAATCCACAGCCTTGAAAGTCTTATAACTTTTTATTTTTTTCCTCACTGGCCTCCAAGTTTTCTAGGATTATGCAATGTCCAGCCATCAACACATTTGTGAAGGAATTTTTACTCCCCAAAAGAGCGCCCCCCCATGGCAGGAGAAAAAAGTCCATTTTTTCTTGTCCCCTAAGGTGAAAATTCACATTGTTGAGTGTCACGCCTGTACGCTTTGTCATATTGACACAAAATTTGACAATCACGTGTATCTGAATAAGATCTACGAAAAAGTAAATTCGCGCGTATCTGTAAAATGTACGGTTAAAGGGCTATTTAGCATTTTTTGCCGATTCGCACACATTGGAATGTGGCTAACTCCTCCTAAGGTCTTCGTCCCACTGACACCAAATTTGCTCAGGCCAATCTACACGCGATGGCCATTCAAAGTTGTAAAAATCATGACGCTGCACCCCACGGTTTACGTTCTAGGGGGCGCCAAAGATGACCCAAAAATCCACATTCCACACATTGGAATGTGGCTAACTCCTCCTAAAGCTTTCGTCCCACCAACACCAAATTTGCTCAGGCCAATCTACACCCCATGGCCTTTCAAAGTTGTACAAATCATGACGCTGCACCCCACGGTTTAGGTTCAAGGGGGCGCCAGAGAGGACCCAAATATCCACATTCTTAAAAGTCTTGTAACTTTTTATTTTTGTCCTCACTGGCCTCCAAGTTTTCTAGGATGATGCAATGTTCAGCCATCAACACATTTGTGAAGGAATTTTTACTCCCCAAAAGAGCGCCCCCCCATGGCAGGAGAAAAAAGTCCATTTTTTCTTGTCCCCTAAGGTGAAAATACACATTGTTGAGTGTCACGCCTATACGCTTTGTCATATTGACACAAAATTTGACAATCACGTGCCTTGCCTGGTATCATTTTTTTTCAGCACAACCTCACCTGTGCGAATTTACAGTTATTTTATCATGTTGACATACTGAATTTACACAATGGACCCAAATTCACACACAAAACATAAAATCCGAGTGGAAAAAAGTAACGTTTTTACTGTGAAAACCACAAATATGTGTGATGAACTGTTTTTAAAACTTAAACTTCAAATAAAAATTGTAAACTTCAAAACATATGCAAATTTTTAACAAAGAACATAGTTATTTACCTCTATTTACATCAAAATGCAGGCAATGGCCCAGGTGTTCTTTGTAAAATTATTTACAAAACACTGTATAGTCTCACAAATGTCACTTTTTATTTATGCCACTACAAAAAATCATGATGTAAATGATGCATGATGTAAAACATGATGTAAAAAACTTGTGTAGATCCTCCTCTATGTTAGTCCATGTGTAATTTTTCCATAATTCTTTGTTTTTTGCAGCATTTTTGTTAGTGTAACTGCAGATTGTGCTGACAGTGTCTATGGCAAAAAAAAAAAAAACTGAAAATGCCTCAACATGAACCCCTGGTGGTCTCTGAGGGTGAAACCTGCTAACTGCTGCAGCTCTGTCAGCTTCAGTCTCCCATGCAAAGCTCGGAGCGCATGTGTGGCTCTGCACCCTTAGCAGCGTTGCTAACTCCTCAGTAAGGAAAGCCTGCTTCATGTCAGAGTCTCTAAACTCCAGAAGAAGTCGATAAAAGTCACTTTCTTTCTAAAAAAAAGTCGTTAGGGGGTCTGAAAAGTCATTGAATCTAACAACAAAGTCGCTAGGTTTGCAACTACGTGTCCCAGACTGCATCCCTGCTGAGAGTCCCTCCCTCCCTTCTCATATTGCAGGAAGAACGTAAGCGCCCGCCCCTTGTCAATCAGTCACCATATAATTTTGGATTGGTTGTTGTGGTGAGGTTTTCCACCAATAGGAGAGATGTTGTGGTGTGTTTTTTTTTTCCTTTGGCAAGCCTTTTCCGCCTGTAAGACCTGTCGCTAATGTCTGCATGCTATGTTTTCCTGTCTCATACAGCGCGATCGAGCGCCGAACGTGATCAAAATAAGCAGAAAACAAGTATCGCGGACATAATTTATCATAACTCTGGTTTTATTTGGCCTATCAACACAATTTAAAAACTGGTATATAGGTTGAGGTCCTCACTTTTGAGATAAGTTGAAACGGAGTCAACGAGGCTCCGTCTTGCAGCTACATCCGGTTAAATATGTCATGTGACTTGAACGCACACACACACACACACAGACACACACACACACGCACACACACACACTCAGAGTCTGGTTTTTAGCACCTGCAAAAACATGCTATTTACATATTTGACAAGAATGCAGAGGCTCCTTTTGCCCCTGAAAAAAATCAAATTTCAAACACAACTTGACTGGTCATTTCTCCAAAAGACAACCATGAAGCTCCATCCAAACCTGAAGCAGGCAGTTGGTGCATGTGTACAGTAACCTGAGGGGAGTGAGGTGACTGCTTCTGAGGAGAACATGAGCAGTGAAGATTCACCTTAGAGCTAGAACAGAGACGTGCACATGATTATACAGGGGCAGGGGCTCAAGTTTTTTCCAGTTGTTTATACAATATGGAAATTAATGTGAAATTAAAAAACAAAGTATTAATAGAAAGGTAATGACTGTCCTGAGTAGGTGACAGTGATATCCAATAGGCTAGGCACTCAAGAGGCTGGCTGTGGCAAGTGTAAGTGAAAGCAACACGCACTGGCAGGAAGAACAGCAAACGCCGATGAAGGAAAAGGGTCTTTGCAGTGATGGGCGTTACCAGAGAGGACGATGGCCAGAGGACACAAATGGGACGGGGAGGCAGCGCGTTGGGGGGGGGACGCGACACAGCTCGGGCCCGCCAGTGCCCCAACGGGGTCCTAGTTAGGGCCCGAGCGTAGCTGCTAAGCAGCTGCGAGAGCCCTCTTGTTCCTGATGGATTCTTCTTTCGTTATTTTTCCTCCGCTTTAAACTGGAAAATGGCCCACTTCCCACTGGCGAAAACTCAGGAAATTTGGCAGGACGACCGGGCCTGGTGAAAAATTTGATATTCTGAAGTCGCCCAAACAAAAAAATGAAAAATGGCTGCATAGCGCCCCCTATGGTGAAAACTCACCTGACGCCTGTACACTTTGTCAAAATGACACAAAATTTGACACACATGTGTATCTCAATAAGATCTACAAAAAAGTCAGTGCAGGCGTATCTGTCAAATGTACCGTTAAAGGGCTATTTCGCATTTTTTGCCGATCCGCACACATTGGAATTTCGCTAACTCCTCCGAAGGCTTTCGTTCCACTGGCACCACATTTGCTCAGGCCAATCTACACCCCATGGCCATTAAAAGTTGTACAAATCATGATGCTGCACCCCACGGTTTACGTTCTAGGGGGCGCCAAAGATAACCCAAAAATCCACATTCTTAAAAGTCTTATAACTTTTTATTTTTCTCCTCACTGGCCTCCAAGTTTTCTAGGATGATGCAATGTCCAGCCATCAACACATTTGTGAAGGAATTTTTACTCCCCAAAAGAGCGCCCCCCCATGGCAGGAGAAAAAAGTCCATTTTTTCTTGTCCCCTAACATGAAAATACACATTGTTGAGTGTCACGCCTAAACGCTTTGTCATATTGACAAAAAATTTGACAATCACGTGTATCTCAATAAGATCTACAAAAAAGTCATAGAGCGCGTATCTGTATAATGTACGGTTAAAGGGCTATTTTGCATTTTTTGCCGATCCGCACACATTGGAATTTCGCTAACTCCTCCGAAGGCTTTCGTTCCACCGGCACCAAATTTGCTCAGGCCAATCTACACCCCATGGCCATTAAAAGTTGTACAAATCATGACGCTGCAACCCACGGTGAAGGTTCTAGGGGGCGCCAAAGATAACCCAAAAATCCACATTCTTAAAAGTCTTATAACTTTTTATTTTTGTCCTCACTGGCCTCCAAGTTTTCTAGGATAATGCAATGTCCAGCCATCAACACATTTGTGAAGGAAATTTTACTCCCCAAAAGAGCGCCCCCCCATGGCAGGAGAAAAAAGTCTATTTTTTCTTGTCCCCTAAGGTGAAAATACACATTGTTTAGTGTCACGCCTGTACGCTTTGGCAAAATGACACAAATATTAACACACACATGTATCTCAATAAGATCTACGAAAAAGTCAATGCGCGCATATCTGTCAAATGTACGGTTAAAGGGTTATTCCGCATTTTTTGCCGATCCGCACACATTGGAATGTGGCTAACTCCTCCGAAGGCTTTCGTTCCACTGGCACCACATTTGCTCAGGCCAATCTACACCCCATGGCCATTAAAAGTTATTCAAATCATGACGCTGCACCCCACGGTTTAGGTTCTAGGGGGCGCCAAAGATAACCCTAAAATCCACATATTTAAAAGTCTTATAACTTCTTATTTTTGTCCTCACTGGCCTCCAGGTTTTCTAGGATGATGCAATGTCCAGCCATCAACACATTTGTGAAGGAATTTTTACTCCCCAAAAGAGCGCCCCCCCATGGCAGGAGAAAAAAGTCCATTTTTTCTTGTCCCCTAAGGTGAAAATACATATTGTTGAGATTCACGCCTATACGCTTTGTCATATTGACACAAAATTTGACAATCACGTGTATCTCAATAAGATCTACGAAAAAGTCAATGGGCGTGTATCTGTCAAATGTACGGTTAAAGGGCTATTTTGCATTTTTTGCCGATTCGCACACATTGGAATGTGGCTAACTCCTCCTAAGGCTTTCGTCCCACTGACACCAAATTTGCTCAGGCCAATCTACACCCCATGGCCATTAAAAGTTATTCAAATCATGACGCTGCACCCCACGGCTCACGTTCTAGGGGGCGCCAAAGATGACCCAAATATCCACATTCTTAAAAGAATCCACATCCCCCCCCCCATCCCCCATCCCCCATGGCAGGAGAAACAGTCAAGTTTTTCCTGCCCATCACTCAATGGCTCAATCGCATCGTTCTCCCGGCAACACCGTAACAAGGAGCAACTTGCCGTTTGGATATATCCTAGCTGTGTTTGTGGCCTCACTCATGGTCCAAACTTTTTTCAAATAGGACATGTAGTTTGTCTGCAGCGAGTGTTTTGGTAGAAACTGCGCCTCCCATTCATTATAATGGGAAATGACCACAGACAAGTGCGCACACCATCTTTGGACCTTGAGTGTGACGCGATCGGGAGGGGGAGGCGGTCGCACTGGGGGCGGCGCAACGCGGCTCGGGCCCGCCAGTGCCCCAACGGGGCCCTAGTTATTAGGGCCCGAGCGTAGCTGCTAAGCAGCTGCGAGAGCCCTATTATTCCCCAAGTGGTTTTTCTTTGTTTCTTTCTTTCTTTCTTTCTTTCTTTAGGGCCCGAGCGTAGCTGCTAAGCAGCTGCGAGAGCCCTATTATTCTCCAAGTGGTTTTTCTTTGTTTCTTTCTTTCTTTCTTTCTTTCTTTCTTCTTTTTCCTCCCCTTTGAACTGGAAAATGGCCCACTTCCCACTGGCGAAAACTCATGAAATTTGGCAGGACGACCGGGCCTGGTGAAAAATTCGATATTCTGAAGTCGCCCAAACAATAAAATGCAAAATGGCTCCATAGCGCCCCCTAAGGTGGAAATTCACACTATTGACTGTCACGCCTGTACGCTTGGTCATATTGACACAAAAATTGACACACATATGTATCTCAATAAGATCTACAAGAAAGTCAATGCGCGCATATCTGTCAAATGTACGGTTAAAGGGTTATTTCGCATTTTTTGCCGATCCGCACACATTGGAATTTCGCTAACTCCTCCGAAGGCTTTCGTTCCACCGGCACCACATTTGCTCAGGCCAATCTACACCCCGTGGCCATTAAAAGTTATCAAAATCATGACGCTGCACCCCAAGGTTTAGGTTCTAGGGGGCGCCAAAGATAACACTAAAATCCACATATTTAAAAGTCTTATAACTTTTTATTTTTGTCCTCACTGGCCTCCAAGTTTTCTAGGATGATGCAATGTCCAGCCATCAACACATTTGTGAAGGAATTTTTACTCCCCAAAAGAGCGCCCCCCCATGGCAGGAGAAAAAAGTCCATTTTTTCTTGTCCCCTAAGGTGAAAATACACATTGTTGAGTGTCACGCCTATACGCTTTGTCAAAATGACACAAAAATTGACACACACATGTAACTCAATAAGATCTACGAAAAAGTCAATGCGCGCGTATCTGTCAAATGTACGGTTAAAGGGTTATTCCGCATTTTTTGCCGATCCGCACATATTGGAATGTGGCTAACTCCTCCTAAGGCTTTCGTTCCACCGGCACCACATTTGCTCAGGCCAATCTACACCCCATGGCCATTAAAAGTTATCAAAATCATGACGCTGCACCCCACGGTTTAGGTTCTAGGGGGCGCCAAAGATAACCCTAAAATCCACATATTTAAAAGTCTTATAACTTTTTATTTTTGTCCTCACTGGCCTCCAAGTTTTCTAGGATGATGCAATGTCCAGCCATCAACACATTTGTGAAGGAATTTTTACTCCCCAAAAGAGCGCCCCCCATGGCAGGAGAAAAAAGTCCATTTTTTCTTGTCCCTTAAGGTGAAAATACATATTGTTGAGATTCACGCCTATACGCTTTGTCATATTGACACAAAATTTGACAATCACGTGCCTTGCCTGGTATCATTTTTTTCAGCACAACCTCACCTGTGCGAATTTACAGTTATTTTATCATGTTGACATACTGAATTTACACAATGGACCCAAATTCACACACAAAACATAAAATCCGAGTGGAAAAAAGTAACATTTTTACTGTGAAAACCACAAATATGTGTGATGAACTGTTTTTAAAACTTAAACTTCAAATAAAAATTGTAAACTTCAAAAAATATGCAAATTTTTAACAAAGAACATAGTGATTTACCTCTATTTACATCAAAATGCAGGCAATGGCCCAGGCGTTCTTTGTAAAATTATTTACAAAACACTGTATAGTCTCACAAATGTCACTTTTTATTTATGCCACTACAAAAAAACATGATGTAAATGATGCATGATGTAAAACATGATGTAAAAAACTTTTGTAGATCCTCCTCTATGTCAGTCCATGTGTAATTTTTCCATAATTCTTTGTTTTTTGCAGCATTTTTGTTAGTGTAACTGCAGATTGTGCTGACAGTGTCTATGGCACACAAAAAAAAAAAATTAAAATGCCTCAACATGAACCCCTGGTGGTCTCTGAGGGTGAAACCTGCTAACTGCTGCAGCTCTGTCAGCTTCAGTCTCCCATGCAGAGCTCGGAGCGCATGTGTGGCTCTGCACCCTTAGCAGCGTTGCTAACTCCTCAGTAAGGAAAGCCTGCTTCATGTCAGAGTCTCTAAACTCCAGAAGAAGTCGATAAAAGTCCCTTTGTTTCAAAAAAAAAGTCGTTAGGGGGTCTGAAAAGTCATTGAATCTAACAACAAAGTCGCTAGGTTTGCAACTACGTGTCCCAGACTGCATCCTTGCTGAGAGTCCCTCCCTCCCTTCTCATGTTGCAGGAAGAACGTAAGCGCCCGCCCCTTGTCAATCAGTCACCATATAATTTTGGATTGGTTGTTGTGGTGAAGTTTTCCACCAATAGGAGAGATGTTGTGGTGTGTTTTTTTTTTCTTTTGGCAAGCCTTTTCCGCCTGTAAGACCTGTCGCTAATGTCTGCATGCTATGTTTTCCTGTCTCATACAGCGCGATCGAGCGCCGAACGTGATCAAAATAAGCAGAAAAAAAGTATCGCGGACATAATTTATCATAACTCTGGTTTTATTTGGCCTATCAACACAATTTAAAAACTGGTATATAGGTTGAGGTCCTCACTTTTGAGATAAGTTGAAACGGAGAGTCAACGAGGCTCCGTCTTGCAGCTACATCCGGTTAAATATGTCATGTGACTTGAACGCACACACAGACACACACACACGCACACACACACACACACACACACACACACACACACACACACACACACACACACACACACTCAGAGTCTGGTTTTTAGCACCTGCAAAAACATGCTATTTACATATTTGACAAGAATGCAGAGGCTCCTTTTGCCCCTGAAAAAAATCAAATTTCAAACACAACTTGACTGCTCATTTCTCCAAAAGACAACCATGAAGCTCCATCCAAACCTGAAGCAGGCAGTTGGTGCATGTGTACAGTAACCTGAGGGGAGTGAGGTGAGTGCTTCTGAGGAGAACATGAGCAGTGAAGATTCACCTTGGAGCTAGAACAGAGACATGCACATGATTATACAGGGGCAGGGGCTCAAGTTTTTTCCAGTCGTTTATACAATATGGAAATTAATGTGAAATTAAAACACAAAGTATTAATAGAAAGGTAATGACTGTCCTGTGTAGGTGACAGTGATATCCAATAGGCTAGGCACTCACGAGGCTGGCTGTGGCAAGTGTAAGTGAAAGCAACACGCACTGGCAGGAAGAACAGCAAACGCCGATGAAGGAAAAGGGTCTTTGCAGTGATGGGCGTTACCAGAGAGGGCGATGGCCAGAGGACACAAATGGGACGGGAAGGCAGCACGTTGGGGGGGGGGGGGGGACGCGACACGGCTCGGGCCCGCCAGTGCCCCAACGGGGTCCTAGTTATTATTTTTCCTCCGCTTTAAACTGGAAAATGGCCCACTTCCCACTGGCGAAAACTCATGAAATATGGCAGGACGACCGGGCCTGGTGAAAAATTCGATATTCTGAAGTCGCCCAAACAAGAAAATGCAAAATGGCTCAATAGCGCCCCCTAAGGTGAAAATTCACACTATTGACTGTCACGCCTGTACGCTTTGTCATATTGACACAAAAATTGACACACACATGTATCTCAATAAGATCTACAAAAAAGTCAGTGCGGGCTGTCTGTCAAATGTACGGTTAAAGGGTTATTTCGCATTTTTTGCCGTTCCGCACACATTGGAATTTCGCTACCTCCTCCGAAGGCTTTCGTTCCACCAGCACTACATTTGCTCAGGCCAATCTACACCCCATGGCCATTGAAAGTTGTACAAATCATGACGCTGCACCCCACGGTTTACGTTCTAGGGGGCGCCAAAGATAACCCACAAATCCACATTCTTAAAAATCTTATAACTTTTTATTTTTGTCCTCATTGGCCTCCAAGTTTTCTAGGATGATGCAATGTCCAGCCATCAACACATTTGTGAAGGAATTTTTACTCCCCAAAACAGCGCCCCCCCATGGCAGGACAAAAAAGGCCATTTTTTCTTGTCCCCTAAGGTGAAAATACACATTGTTCAGTGTCACGCCTATACGCTTTGTCATATTGACACAAAATTTGACACACACGTGTATCTCAATAAGATCTACGAGAAAGTCAATGTGCGCGTATCTGTAAAATGTACGGTTAAAGGGCTATCTTGCATTTTTTGCCGATTCGCACACATTGGAATGTGGCTGACTCCTCCTAAGGCTTTCGTTCTACTGACACCAAATTTGCTCAGGCCAATCTACACCCCATGGCCATTCAAAGTTGTACAAATCATGACGCTGCACCCCACGGTTTAGGTTCTAGGGGGCGCCAAAGATGACCCAAATATCCACATTTTTAAAAGTCTTATAACTTTTTATTTTTGTCCTCACTGGCTTCCAAGTTTTCTAGGATGATGCAATGTGCAGCCATCAACACATCTGTGAAGGAATTTTTTCTCCCCAAAAGAGCGCCCCCCCCCCCATGGCAGGAGAAAAAGTCAAGTTTTTCCAGCCCATCGCTTAATAGCTCAAACGCATTGCTCTCCCGCTAAAACCAAAAGGAGGAGCAACTTGCCATTTGGATATGTCCTAGCTGTGTTTGTGCCCTCACTCATGGTCCAGAGTTTTTTCAAATAGGACATGTAGTTTGTCTGCAGCGAGCGTTTTGGTAGAAACTGTGCCTCCCATTCATTATAATGGGAAATGACCAAAGACAGGTGCGCACACCATTTTTGGACCTTGACTTTGACGTCACAGTTTGAGATACAAATGTTATTTGACCTCTGACCTTTGGTGGACACCCTAACCTTTCAACCCGCGAAAACGGCGTTTCAATAGCTCTTACGGCTTTCCTACAAATACACTTTGTTCAGCTACTCCTACTGTCCTTTAAGCTCTGCTTCTCAGATCATCAAAGAGTGTGCACGTGTGTAATGAGCGCATATTGAATGTTAATTATGTTAAATATGTTAATTATTAGAAGAAAAAACAACAACAGTCCTTTTGGACAAAATTTCTTTTTATTACAGAATTAGAATAATGGAAGCATAGTCCAAGGAAACCATTCAAGTGATGTCATACCTCATAATTTATTGAGATGTTGGCTAGTCTGGGCATTTCTTCATTCATCAGGTTTCCTGCATGCATACTAACAGAGCACATCAGTAGCAGTGAGTGATAAGTATGAGTGTGTCATTGTGTAAGAAAGAAAGTGGTTTACTTACACATCCATAGAAAATAGGTGGTTGAGCACAGCACGCAAACAAAGCTTTGCCACAACGGTTGAACTTCCCAAGTAGCTGATACCAAGGTCACACAATCATGGTGAGCAAAGGTCAAACCAGGCCAGGCACTCACGAGGCTGGCTGTGGCAAGTGTAAGTGAAAGCAACACGCAATGGCAGGAAGAACAGCAAACACCGATGAAGGAAAAGGGTCTTTGCAGTGATGGGCGTCACCAGAGAGGGCGATGGCCAGAGGGCACGAATGGGACGGGGAGGCGGTCGCGCTAGGGGCGGCGCGACGCGGCTCGGGCCCGCCAGTGCCCCAACGGGGCCCTAGTGTTATTATTAGGGCCCGAGCGTAGCTGCTAAGCAGCTGCGAGAGCCCTCTTGTTCCTGATGGATTCTTCTTTCGTTATTATTATTAGGGCCCGAGCGTAGCTGCTAAGCAGCTGCGAGAGCCCTCTTGTTCCTGATGGATTCTTCTTTCGTTATTATTAGGGCCCGAGCGTAGCTGCTAAGCAGCTGCGAGAGCCCTCTTGTTCCTGATGGATTCTTCTTTTGTTATTATTATTATTATTATTATTATTATTTTTCCTCCGCTTTAAACTGGAAAATGGCCCACTTCCCACTGGCGAAAACTCATGAAATTTGGCAGGACGACCGGGCCTGGTGAAAAATTCGATATTCTGAAGTCGCCCAAACAATAAAATGCAAAATGGCTCCATAGCGCCCCCTAAGGTGAAAATTCACACTATTTACTGTCACGCCTTTACGCTTTGTCATATTGACACAAAAATTGACACACACATGTATCTCAATAAGATCTACAAAAAAGTCAGTGCAGGCGTATCTGTCAAATGTACGGTTAAAGGGTTATTTCGCATTTTTTGCCGATCCGCACACATTGGAATTTCGCTAACTCCTCCGAAGGCTTTCGTTCCAACGGCACCAAATTTGCTCAGGCCAATCTACACCCCATGGCCATTAAAAGTTGTACAAATCATGACGCTGCACCCCACGGTTTACGTTCTAGGGGGCGCCAAAGATAACCCAAAAATCCACAGTCTTAAAAGTCTTATAACTTTTTATTTTTGTCCTCACTGGCCTCCAAGTTCTCTAGGATGATGCAATGTCCAGCCATCAACACATTTGTGAAGGAATTTTTACTCCCCAAAAGAGCGCCCCCCCAATGGCAGGAGAAAAAAGTCCATTTTTTCTTGTCTCCTAAGGCGAAAATACACATTGTTGAGTGTCACGCCTTTACGCTTTGTCAAAATGACACAAAAATTGACACACACATGTATCTCAATACGATCTACGAAAAAGTCAATGCGAGCGTAACTGTTCAATGTAAAGGGCTATTTCGCATTTTTTGCCGATTCGCACACATTGGAATGTGGCTGACTCCTCCTAAAGCTTTTGTCCCATCGGCTTCAAATTTGCTCAGGTCAATCTACACCCCATGGCCATTCAAAGTTGTACAAATCATGACGCTGCACCCCACGGTTTACGTTCTAGGGGGCTCCAAAGAGGACCCAAATATCCACATTTTTAAAAATCTTATAACTTTTTATTTTTGTCCTCACTGGCCTCCAAGTTCTCTAGGATGATGCAATGTCCAGCCATCAACACATTTGTGAAGGAATTTTTACTCCCCAAAAGAGCGCCCCCCCAATGGCAGGAGAAAAAAGTCCATTTTTTCTTGTCTCCTAAGGCGAAAATACACATTGTTGACTGTCACGCCTTTACGCTTTGTCAAAATGACACAAAAATTGACACACACATGTATCTCAATACGATCTACGAAAAAGTCAATGCGAGCGTATCTGTTCAATGTAAAGGGCTATTTCGCATTTTTTTCCGATTCGCACACATTGGAATGTGGCTGACTCCTCCTAAAGCTTTTGTCCCATCGGCTTCAAATTTGCTCAGGTCAATCTACACCCCATGGCCATTCAAAGTTGTACAAATCATGACGCTGCACCCCACGGTTTACGTTCTAGGGGGTGCCAAAGATGACCCAAATATCCACATTTTTAAAAGTCTTATAACTTTTTATTTTTGTCCTCACTGGCCTCCAAGTTTTCTAGGATGATGCATTGTCCAGCCATCAACACATTTGTGAAAGAATTTTTTCTCCCCAAAAGAGCGCCCCCCCATGGCAGGAGAAAAAGTCAAGTTTTTCCTGCCCATCGCTCAATGGCTCAAACGCATCTCTCTCTCGGCAAAACGGAAAGGAGGAGCAACTTGCCATTTGGATATGTACTAGCTGTGTTTGTGCCCTCACTCATGGTCCAGACTTTTTTCAAAAAGGACATGGAGTTTGTCTGCAGCGAGCGTTTTGGTAGAAACTGCGCCTCCCATTCATTATAATGGTAAATGACCACAGACAAGTGCGCACACCATCTTTGGACCTTGAGTGTGACGCGATCGGGAGGGGTAGGCGGTCGCGCTGGGGGCGGCGCGACACGGCTCGGGCCCGCCAGTGCCCCAACGGGGCCCTAGTGTTATTATTATTATTTTTCCTCCGCTTTAAACTGGAAAATGGCCCACTTCCCACTGGCGAAAACTCATGAAATTTGGCAGGACGACCGGGCCTGGTGAAAAATTCGATATTCTGAAGTCGCCCAAACAAGAAAATGCAAAATGGCTCAAAAGCGCCCCCAAAGGTGAAAATTCACACTATTGACTGTCACGCCTGTACGCTTTGTCATATTGACACAAAAATTGACAGACACATGTATCTCAATAAGATCTACAAAAAAGTCAGTGCGGGCGTATCTGTCAAATGTACGGTTAAAGGGTTATTTCGCATTTTTTGCCGTTCCGCACACATTGGAATGTGGCTAACTCCTCCGAAGGCTTTCGTTCCACCAGCACTACATTTGCTCAGGCCAATCTACACCCCATCACTTTTTATTTTTGTCCTCACTGGCCTCCAAGTTTTCTAGGATGATGCAATGTCCAGCCATCAACACATTTGTGAAGGAATTTTTACTCCTTAAAAGAGCGCCCCCCCATGGCAGGAGAAAAAAATCAATTTTTTCTTGTCCCATAAGGTGAAAATACACATTGTTCAGTGTCACGCCTGTACGCTTTGTCTTATTGACACAAAATTTAACAATCACGTGTATCTCAATAAGATCTACGAAGAAGTCAATGCGCACGTATCTGTAAAATGTACGGTTAAAGGTCTATTTTGCATTTTGTGCCGATTCGCACACATTGGAATGCGGCTAACTCCTCCTAAAGCTTTCGTCCCACCTACACCAAATTTGCTCAGGCCAATCTACACCCCATGGCCATTCAAAGTTGTACAAATCATGACGCTGCACCCCACGGTTTAGGTTCTAGGGGGCGCCAAAGAGGACCCAAATATCCACATTTTTAAAAGTCTTATAACTTTTTTTTTTTGTCCTCACTGGCCTCCAAGTTTTCTAGGATGATGCAATGTCCAGCCATCAACACATTTGGGAAGGAATTTTTACTCCCCAAAAGAGCGCCCCCCCATGGCAGGAGAAAAAGTCAAGTTTTTCCTGCCCATCGCTCAATGGCTCAAACGCATCGCTCTCTCGGCAAAACCGAAAGGAGGAGCAACTTGCCATTTGGATATATACTAGCTGTGTTTGTGCCCTCACTCATGGTCCAGACTTTTTTCAAAAAGGACATGGAGTTTGTCTGCAGCAAGCGTTTTGGTAGAAACTGCGCCTCCCATTCATTATAATGGTAAATGACCACAGACAAGTGCGCACACCATCTTTGGACCTTGAGTGTGACGCAATCGGGAGGGGTAGGCGGTCGCGCTGGGGGCGGCGCGACACGGCTCGGGCCCGCCAGTGCCCCACCGGGGCACTAGTTATTATTTTTCCTCCGCTTTAAACTGGAAAATGGCCCACTTCCCACTGGCGAAAACTCAGGAAATTTGGCAGGACGACCGGGCCTGGTGAAAAATTCGATATTCTGAAGTCTCCCAAACAAGAAAATGCAAAATGGCTCCATAGCGCCCCCTAAGGTGAAAATTCACACTATTGACTGTCACGCATGTACGCTTTGTCATATTGACACAAAAATTGACACACACATGTATCTCAATAAGATCTACAAAAAAGTCAGTGCGGGCGTATCTGTCAAATGTATGGTTAAAGGGTTATTTCGCTTTTTTTGCAGATCCGCACACATTGGAATTTCGCTAACTCCTCCGAAGGTTTTCGTTCCACCAGCACCACATTTGCTCAGGCCAATCTACACCCCATGGCCATTCAAAGTTGTACAAATCATGACGCTGCACCCCACGGTTTACGTTCTAGGGGGCGCCAAAGATAACCCAAAAATCCACAGTCTTAAAAGTCTTATAACTTTTTATTTTTGTCCTCACTGGCCTCCAAGTTCTCTAGGATGATGCAATGTCCAGCCATCAACACATTTGTGAAGGAATTTTTACTCCCCAAAAGAGCGCCCCCCCATGGTAGGAGAAAAAAGTCAATTTTTTCTTGTCCCCTTACATGAAAATACACATTGTTGAGTGTCACGCCTGAACGCTTTGTCATATTGACAAAAAATTTGACACACACATGTATCTCAATAAGATCTACGAAAAAGTCAATGCACGCGTATCTGTAAAATGTACGGCTAAACGGCTATTTTGCATTTTTTGCCGATTCGCACACATTGGAATGTGGCTAACTCCTCCTAAGGCTTTCGTCCCACTGACACCAATTTTGCTCAGGCCAATCTACACCCCATGGCCATTCAAAGTTGTAAAAATCATGCCGTTGCACCCCACGGTCTACGTTCTAGGGGGCGCCAAAGAGGACCCAAATATCCACATTTTTAAAAGTCTTATAACTTTTTATTTTTGTCCTCACTGGCCTCCAAGTTTTCTAGGATGATGCAATGTCCAGCCATCAACACATTTGTGAAGGAATTTTTTCTCCCCAAAAGAGCACCCCCCCATGGCAGGAGAAAAAGTCAAGTTTTTCCTGCCCACCGCTCAATGGCTCAAACGCATCACTCTCTCGGCAAAACCGAAAGGAGGAGCAACTTGCCATTTGGATATATACTAGCTGTGTTTGTGCCCTCACTCATGGTCCAGACTTTTTTCAAAAAGGACATGGAGTTTGTCTGCAGCAAGCGTTTTGGTAGAAACTGCGCCTCCCATTCATTATAATGGTAAATGACCACAGACAAGTGCGCACACCATCTTTGGACCTTGAGTGTGACGCGATCGGGAGGGGTAGGCGGTCGCGCTGGGGGCGGCGCGACACGGCTCGGGCCCGCCAGTGCCCCACCGGGGCCCTAGTTCTTTCTTTCTTTCTTCTTATTTTTCCTCCCCTTTGAAGGGGAAAATGGCCCACTTCCCACTGGCGAAAACTCAGGAAATTTGGCAGGACGACCGGGCCTGGTGAAAAATTCGATATTCTGAAGTCGCCCAAACAATAAAATGCAAAATGGCTCCATAGCGCCCCCTAAGGTGAAAATTCACCCTATTGACTGTCACGCCAGTACGCTTTGTCATATTGACACAAAATTTGACACACACATGTATCTCAATAAGATCTACAAAAAAGTCAGTGCGGGCGTATCTGTCAAATGTACGGTTAAAGGGTTATTAGGGCCCGAGCGTAGCTGCTAAGCAGCTGCGAGAGCCCTCTTGTTCCTGATGGATTCTTCTTTCGTTATTTTTCCTCCGCTTTAAACTGGAAAATGGCCCACTTCCCACTGGCGAAAACTCAGGAAATTTGGCAGGACGACCGGGCCTGGTGAAAAATTCGATATTCTGAAGTCGCCCAAACAAAAAAATGAAAAATGGCTCCATAGCGCCCCCTATGGTGAAAACTCACCTGACACCTGTACGCTTTGTCAAAATGACACAAAATTTGACACACATGTGTATCTCAATAAGATCTACAAAAAAGTCAGTGCGGGCGTATCTGTCAAATGTACCGTTAAAGGGCTATTTCGCATTTTTCGCTGATCCGCACACATTGGAATTTCGCTAACTCCTCCGAAGGCTTTCGTTCCACCGGCACCAAATTTGCTCAGGCCAATCTACACCCCATGGCCATTAAAAGTTGTACAAATCATGACGCTGCACCCCACGGTTTACGTTCTAGGGGGCGCCAAAGATAACCCAAAAATCCACATTCTTAAAAGTCTTATAACTTTTTATTTTTGTCCTCACTGGCCTCCAAGTTTTTCTAGGATGATGCAATGTCCAGCCATCAACACATTTGTGAAGAAATTTTTACTCCCCAAAAGAGCGCCCCCCATGGCAGGAGAAAAAAGTCCATTTTTTCTTGTCCCCTAAGGTGAAAATACACATTGTTGAGTGTCATGCCTGAACGCTTTGTCATATTGACACAAAATTTGACACACACGTGTATCTCAATAAGATCTACGAAAAAGTCAAAGAGCGCGTATCTGTATAATGTACGGTTAAAGGGCTATTTCGCATTTTTTGCCGATCCGCACACATTGGAATTTCGCTAACTCCTCCGAAGGCTTTCGTTCCACCGGCACAACATTTGCTCAGGCCAATCTACACCCCATGGCCATTAAAAGTTGTACAAATCATGACGCTGCACCCCACGGTTTAGGTTCTAGGGGGCGCCAAAGATAACCCAAAAATCCACATTCTTAAAAGTCTTATAACTTTTTATTTTTGTCCTCACTGGCCTCCAAGTTTTCTAGGATGATGCAATGTCCAGCCATCAACACATTTGTGAAGGAATTTTTACTCCCCAAAAGAGCGCCCCCCCATGGCAGGAGAAAAAAGTCCATTTTTTCTTGTCCCATAAGGTGAAAAAACACATTGTTGAGTGTCACGCCTCTACGCTTTGTCAAAATGACACAAAATTTGACAATCACGTGTATCTCAATAAGATCTATGAAAAACTCATGCGCAAATATCTGTAAAATGTACGGTTAAAGGGCTATTTTGCATTTTTTGCCGATTCGCACACATTGGAATGTGGCTAACTCCTCCTAAGGCTTTCGTCCCACTGACACCAAATTTGCTCAGGCCAATCTACACCCCATGGCCATTCAAAGTTGTAAAAATCATGACGCTGCACCCCACGGTTTACGTTCTAGGGGGTGCCAAAGATGACCCAAATATCCACATTCTTAAAAGAATCCACATCCCCCCCTCCCCCCATGGCAGGAGAAAAAGTCAAGTTTTTCCTGCCCATCGCTCAATGGCTCAATCGCATCGCTCTCTCGGCAAAAGCGAAAGGAGGAGCAACTTGCCATTTGGATATATCCTAGCTGTGTTTGTGCCCTCACTCATGGTCCAGACTTTTTTCAAATAGGACATGTAGTTTGTCTGCAGCGAGTGTTTTGGTAGAAACTGCGCCTCCCATTCATTATAATGGGAAATAACCACAGACAAGTGCGCACTCCATCTTTGGACCTAGAGTGTGACGCGATCGGGAGGTGGAGGCAGTCGCGCTGGGGGCGGCGTGACGCGGCTCGGGCCCGACAGTGCCCCACCGGGGCCCTAGTTTTGCATTTTTTGCCGACCCGCACACATTGGAATTTCACTAACTCCTCCGAAGGCTTTCGTTCCACCAGCACCACATTTGCTCAGGCCAATCTACACCCCATGGCCATTCAAAGTTGTACAAATCATGACGCTGCACCCCACGGTTTACGTTCTAGGGGGCGCCAAAGATAACCCAAAAATCCACAGTCTTAAAAGTCTTATAACTTTTTATTTTTGTCCTCACTGGCCTCCAAGTTCTCTAGGATGATGCAATGTCCAGCAATTAACACATTTGTGAAGGAATTTTTACTCGCCAAAAGAGCGCCCCCCCCATGGCAGGAGAAAAAAGTCCATTTTTTCTTGTCCCCTAAGGCGAAAATACACATTGTTGAGTGTCACGCCTGTACGCTTTGTCATATTGACACAAAATTTGACAATCACGTGTATCTCAATAAGATCTACGAAAAAGTCAATGTGCGCGTATCTGTAAAATGTACGGTTAAAGGGCTATTTCGCATTTTTGGCCGATCCGCACACATTGGAATGCGGCTAACTCCTCCTAAGGCTTTCGTTCCACTGACACCAAATTTGCTCAGGCCAATCTACACCCCATGGCCATTCAGAGTTGTAAAAATCATGACGCTGCACCCCACAGTTTACGTTCTAGGGGGCGCCAAAGAGGACCCAAATATCCACATTTTTAAAAGTCTTATAACTTTATTTTTGTCCTCACTGGCCTCCAAGTTTTCTAGGATGATGCAATGTTCAGCCATCAACACATTTGTGAAGGAATTTTTTCTCCCCAAATGAGGGCCCCCCCCCATGGCAGGAGAAAAAGTCAAGTTTTTCCTGCCCATCGCTCAATGGCTCAAACGCATCGCTCTCTCGGCAAAACCGAAATGAGGAGCACCTTGCCATTTGGATATATACTAGCTGTGTTTGTGCCCTCACTCATGGTCCAGACTTTTTTCAAAAAGGACATGGAGTTTGTCTGCAGCGAGCGTTTTGGTAGAAACTGCGCGTCCCATTCATTATAATGGAAATGACCACAGACAAGTGCGCACACCATCTTTGGACCTTGAGTGTGACTCGATCAGGAGGGGGAGGCGGTCGCGCTGGGGGTGGCGCGACACGGCTCGGGCCCGCCAGTGCCCCAACGGGGCCCTAGTTAGGGCCCGAGCGTAGCTGCTAAGCAGCTGCGAGAGCCCTCTTGTTCCTGTAGTTTCCTTCTTTTGTTATTATTATTATTTTTCCTCCCCTTTGAACTGGAAAATGGCCCACTTCCCACTGGCGAAAACTCATGAAATTTGGCAGGACGACCGGGCCTGGTGAAAAATTTGATATTCCGAAGTCGCCCAAACAAGAAAATGCAAAATGGCTCCATAGCGCCCCCTAAGGTGAAAATTCACACTATTCACTGTCACGCCTGTACGCTTTGTCAAAATGACACAAAAATTGACACACACATGTATCTCAATAAGATCTACAAAAAAGTCAGTGCGGGCGTATCTGTCAAATGTACGGTTAAAGGGTTATTTCGCATTTTTTGCCGATCCGCACACATTGGAATTTCGCTAACTCCTCCGAAGGCTTTCGTTCCACCGGCACCACATTTGCTCAGGCCAATCTACACCCCATGGCCATTAAAAGTTATTCAAATCATGACGCTGCACCCCACGGTTTAGGTTCTAGGGGGCGCCAAAGATAACCCTAAGATCCACATATTTAAAAGTCTTATAACTTTTTATTTTTGCCCTCACTGGCCTCCAAGTTTTCTAGGATGATGCAATGTCCAGCCATCAACACATTTGTGAAGGAATTTTTACTCCCCAAAAGAGCGCCCCCCCATGGCCGGAGAAAAAAGTCCATTTTTTCTTGTCCCCTAAGGTGAAAATACACATTGTTGAGTGTAACACCTGTACGCTTTGGCAAAATGACACAAAAATTGACACACACATGTATCTCAATAAGATCTACGAAAAAGTCAATGCGCGCGTATCTGTCAAATGTACGGTTAAAGGGTTATTCCGCATTTTTTGCCGATCCGCACACATTGGAATTTCGCTAACTCCTCCGAAGGCTTTCGTTCCACCGGCACCACATTTGCTCAGGCCAATCTACACCCCATGGCCATTAAAAGTTATTCAAATCATGATGCTGCACCCCACGGTTTAGGTTCTAGGGGGCGCCAAAGATAACCGTAAAATCCACATATTTAAAAGTCTTATAACTTTTTATTTTTGTCCCCACTGGCCTCCAAGTTTTCTAGGATGATGCAATGTCCAGCCATCAACACATTTGTGAAGGAATTTTTACTCGCCAAAAGAGCGCCCCCCCATGGCAGGAGAAAAAAGTCAATTTTTTCTTGTCCACTAAGGTGAAAATACACATTGTTGAGTGCTACGCCTGTATGTTTTGTCGTATTGACACAAAATTTTACATACACGTGTATTTCAATAAGATCTTCGAAAAAGTCAATGGCCACGTATCTGTAAAATGTACGGTTAAAGGGTTATTTCGCATTTTTTGCAGATTCGCACACATTGGAATTTCGCTAATTCCTCCGAAGGCTTTCGTTCCACCGGCACCACATTTGCTCAGGCCAATCTACACCCCATGGCCATTAAAAGTTATTCAAATCATGACGCTGCACCCCACGGTTTAGGTTCTAGGGGGCGCCAAATATAACCCTAAAATCCACATATTTAAAAGTCTTATAACTTTTTATTTTTGTCCTCACTGGCCTCCATGTTTTCTAGGATGATGCAATGTCCAGCCATCAACACATTTGTGAAGGAGTTTTTTCTCTTTAAAAGAGCGCCCCCCATGGCAGGAGAATAAAGTCAAGTTTTTCCTGTTCATCATTCAATGGCTCAAACGCACTGCTCTCTCGGCAAAAGCGAAAGGAGGAGCAACTTGCCATTTGGATATATATTAGCTGTGTTTGTGCCCTCACTCATGGTCCAGACTTTTTTCAAATAGGACATGGAGTTTTTCTGCAGCGAGCGTTTTGGTAGAAACTGCGCCTCCCATTCATTATAATGGTAAATGACCACAAACAAGTGCGCACACCATCTTTGGACCTTGAGTGTGACGCGATCGGGTGGGGGAGGCGGTCGCGCTTGGGGCGGCGTGACACGGCTCGGGCCCGCCAGTGCCCCAACGGGGCCCTAGTTCTTTCTTTCTTTCTTCTTTTTCCTCCCCTTTGAACTGGAAAATGGCCCACTTCCCACTGGCGAAAACTCAGGAAATTTGGCAGGACGACCGGGCCTGGTGAAAAATTCCATATTCTGAAGTCGCCCAAACAATAAAATGCAAAATGGCTCCATAGCGCCCCCTAAGGTGGAAATTCACACTATTGACTGTCACGCCTGTACGCTTTGTCATATTGACACAAAAATTGACACACATATGTATCTCAATAAGATCTACAAAAAAGTCAGTGCGGCCGTATCTGTCAAAATTACGGTTAAAGGGTTATTTCGCATTTTTTGCCGATCCGCACACATTGGAATTTCGCTAACTCCTCCGAAGGCTTTCGTTCCACCGGCACCACATTTGCTCAGGCCAATCTACACCCCGTGGCCATTAAAAGTTATCAAAATCATGACGCTGCACCCCAAGGTTTAGGTTCTAGGGGGCGCCAAAGATAACACTAAAATCCACATATTTAAAAGTCTTATAACTTTTTATTTTTGTCCTCACTGGCCTCCAAGTTTTCTAGGATGATGCAATGTCCAGCCATCAACACATTTGTGAAGGAATTTTTACTCCCCAAAAGAGCGCCCCCCATGGCAGGAGAAAAAAGTCCATTTTTTCTTGTCCCCTAAGGTGAAAATACACATTGTTGAGTGTCACGCCTATACGCTTTGTCAAAATGACACAAAAATTGACACACACATGTAACTCAATAAGATCTACGAAAAAGTCAATGCGCGCGTATCTGTCAAATGTACGGTTAAAGGGTTATTCCGCATTTTTTGCCGATCCGCACACATTGGAATGTGGCTAACTCCTCCTAAGGCTTTCGTTCCACCGGCACCACATTTGCTCAGGCCAATCTACACCCCATGGCCATTAAAAGTTATTCAAATCATGACGCTGCACCCCATGGTTTAGGTTCTAGGGGGCGCCAAAGATAACCCAAAAATCCACATATTTAAAAGTCTTATAACTTTTTATTTTTGTCCTCACTGGCCTCCAAGTTTTCTAGGATTATGCAATGTCCAGCCATCAACACATTTGTGAAGGAATTTTTACTCCCCAAAAGAGCGCCCCCCCATGGCAGGAGAAAAAAAAGTCCATTTTTTCTTGTCCCATAAGGTGAAAAAACACATTGTTGACTGTCATACCTGTACGCTTTGTCATATTGACACAAAATTTGACAATCACATGTATCTCAATAAGATCTACAAAAAGTCAATGCGCGCGTATCTGTAAAATGTACGGTTAAAGGGCTATTTTGCATTTTTTGCCGATTCGCACACATTGGAATGTGGCTAACTCCTCCTAAGGATTTCGTCCCACTGACACCAAATTTGCTCAGGCCAATCTACACCCCATGGCCATTCAAAGTTGTAAAAATCATGACGCTGCACCCCACGGTTTACGTTCTAGGGGGCGCCAAAGATGACCCAAATATCCACATTCTTAAAATAATCCACATCCCCCCCATCCCCCATCCCCCATGGCAGGAGAAACAGTCAAGTTTTTCCTGCCCATCACTCAATGGCTCAATCGCATCACTCTCCCGGCAACACCGTAACGAGGAGCAACTTGCCGTTTGGATATATCCTAGCTGTGTTTGTGCCCTCACTCATGGTCCAGACTTTTTTCAAATAGGACATGTTGTTTGTCTGCAGCGAGTGTTTTAGTAGAAACTGCGCCTCCCATTCATTATAATGGGAAATGACCACAGACAAGTGCGCACACCATCTTTGGACCTTGAGTGTGACGCGATCGGGAGGGGGAGGCGGTCGCGCTGGGGGCGGCGCAACGCGGCTCGGGCCCGACAGTGCCCCACCGGGGTCCTAGTTAGGGCCCGAGCGTAGCTGCTAAGCAGCTGCGAGAGCCCTCTTGTTCCTGCATGTTTCCTTCTTTCGTTATTATTTTTCCTCCGCTTTAAACTGGAAAATGGCCCACTTCCCACTGGCGAAAACTCAGGAAATTTGGCAGGACGACCGGGCCTGGTGAAAAATTCGATATTCTGAAGTCGCCCAAACAATCAAATGCAAAATGGCTCCATAGCGCCCCCTAAGGTGAAAATTCACATGACGGCTGTACGCTTTGTCATATTGACACAAAAATTGACACACACATGTATCTCAATAAGATCTACAAAAAAGTCAGTGCGGGCGTATCTGTCAAATGTACGGTTAATGGGTTATTTTGCATTTTTTGCAGATCTGCACACATTGGAATTTCGCTAACTCCTCCGAAGGCTTTCGTTCGACCGGCACCACATTTGCGCAGGCCAATCTACCCCCCATGGCCATTAAAAGTTGTACAAATCATGACGCTGCACCCCACGGTTTACGTTCTAGGGGGCGCCAAAGATAACCCAAAATCCACATTCTTAAAAGTCTTATAACTTTTTATTTTTGTCCTCACTGCCCTCCAAGTTTTCTAGGATGATGCAATGTCCAGCCATCAACACATTTGTGAAGGAATTTTTACTCCCCAAAAGAGCGCCCCCCCATGGCAGGAGAAAAAAGTCAATTTTTTCTTGTCCCCTTACATGAAAATACACATTGTTGAGTGTCACGCCTGAACGCTTTGTCATATTGACACAAAAATTGACAATCATGTGTATCTCAATTAGATCTACGAAAAAGTCAAAAAGCGCGTATCTGTATAATGTACGGTTAAAGGGCTATTTCGCATTTTTTGCCGATTCGCACACATTGGAATGTGGCTATCTCCTCCTAAGGCTTTCGTCCCACCGATACCAAATTTGCTCAGGGCAATCTACACCCCATGCCCATTCAAAGTTGTAAAAATCATGACGCTGCACCCCACGGTTTACGTTCTAGGGGGCGCCAAAGATGACACAAAAATCCACATTCTTAAAAGTCATTTTGGCCACTGCAGGAGTACAGAGTACTGCAGTTCTAGGGGGCGCCAAAGATGACCCAAAAATCCACATTCTTAAAAGTCTTTTTGGCCACTGCAGGAGTACAGAGTACTGCAGGATACACACACATACACACACACACACACACACACACACACACACACACACACACACACACACACACACACACACTCAGAGTCTGTTTTTTAGCACCTGCAAAAACATGCTGTTTACATATTTGACAAGAATGCAGAGGCTTCCTTTTGCCCCTGAAAAAAATCAGATTTCAAACACAACTTGACTGTTCATTTCTCCAAAAGACAACCATGAAGCTCCATCCAAACCTGAAGCAGATAGTTGGTGCATGTGTACAGTAACCTGAGGGGAGTGAGGTGACTATTTCTGAGGAGAACATGAGCAGTGAAGATTCACCTTGGAGCTAGAACAGGGACGTGCACATGATTATACAGGGGCAGGGGCTCAAGTTTTTTCCAGTCATTTATACAATATGGAAATTAATGTGAAATTAAACCACAAATATGTGTGATGAACTGTTTTTAAAACTTAAACTTCAAATAAAAATTGTAAACTTCAAAACATATGCAAATTTTTAACAAAGAACATAGTAATTTACCTCTATTTACATCAAAATGCAGGCAATGGCCCAGGCGTTCTTTGTAAAATTATTTACAAAACACTGTATAGTCTCACAAATGTCACTTTTTATTTATGCCACTACAAAAAAACATGATGTAAATGATGCATGATGTAAAACATGATGTAAAAAACTTGTGTAGATCCTCCTCTATGTTAGTCCATGTGTAATTTTTCCATAATTCATTGTTTTTTGCAGCATTTTTGTTAGTGTAACTGCAGATTGTGCTGACAGTGTCTATGGCAAAAAAAAAAAAAAAAACTGAAAATGCCTCAACATGAACCCCTGGTGGTCTCTGAGGGTGAAACCTGCTAACTGCTGCAGCTCTGTCAGCTTCAGTCTCCCATGCAGAGCTCGGAGCGCATGTGTGGCTCTGCACCCTTAGCAGCGTTGCTAACTCCTCAGTAAGGAAAGCCTGCTTCATGTCAGAGTCTCTAAACTCCAGAACTCCAGAAGAAGTCGATAAAAGTCCCTTTCTTTCAAAAAAAAAGTCATTAGGGGGTCTGAAAAGTCATTGAATCTAACAACAAAGTCGCTAGGTTTGCAACTACGTGTCCCAGACTGCATCCCTGCTGAGAGTCCCTCCCTCCCTTCTCAAGTTGCAGGAAGAACACGAGCGCCCGTCCCGTGTCAATCAGTCACCATATAATTTTGGATTGGTTGTTGTGGTGAAGTTTTCCACCAATAGGAGAGATGTTGTGGTGTGTTTTTTTCTTTTCTTTTGGCAAGTCTTTTCCGCCTGTAAGAGCTGTCGCTAATGTCTGCATGCTATGTTTTCCTGTCTCATACAGCGCGATCGAGCGCCGAACGTGATCAAAATAAGCAGAAAAAAAGTATCGCGGACATAATTTATCATAACTCTGGTTTTATTTGGCCTATCAACACAATTTAAAAACTGGTATATAGTTTGAGGTCCTCACTTTTAAGATAGGAGAATCAACGAGGCTCCGTCTTGCAGCTACATCCGGTTAAATATGTCATGTGACTTGAACGCTGGGGAACGGCAATCGACTGCAGAGCCAGCAGACAAAGTAGTTATGGCCACTGAGAGGCACACATTTGTCATATGCTATAATCCTAACATATTTAAATGCTTTTTCTATTTAAACCTAATGGATCTAAGCTTTTACCTTCAAAATTTAGGAAGAATATGTTTTTGCAGTAATGACCCCCTTAAACAACCAGAGGTCCTTTCCTAAAGTTTATGGAAATTTTAGTGAAGGCCTTGGTTTCTTTCCTTGCAAAATGTATAGAAATAATAAAGCTAAATACCATAAAATGGTCTTGGCGTATTAGCAGTGATATAAAATAGTGGTTTGAATATGAATGAACAACAACAAAAAAAGATCAACAGAGCCTTTTTGAGTTGGGATTCTTTCATTATCACACAAAAACAGACATAGACAGACATCTAAAGGGTAAGGGAATGATCAGCCCTCCTAACTCTCAGATGAATCTTCAAAATTCACCTCAGAAATATGCTTATTATTCTTCTCAGAGTACTGCAGGACACACACACACACACACACACACACACACACACACACACACACACACACACACACACACACACACACACACTCAGAGTCTTTTTTTTAGCACCTGCAAAAACATGTTATTAACATATTTGACAAGAATGCAGAGGCTCCTTTTGCCCCTGAAAAAAATCAGATTTCAAACACAACTTGACTGGTCATTTCTCCAAAAGACAACCATGAAGCTCCATCCAAACCTGAAGCAGGCAGTTGGTGCATGTGTACAGTAACCTGAGGGGAGTGAGGTGACTGCTTCTGAGGAGAACATGAGCAGTGAAGATTCACCTTGGAGCTACAACAGGGACGTGCACATGATAATACAGGGGCAGGGGCTCAAGTTTTTTCCAGTCATTTATACAATATGGAAATTAATGTGGAATTAAAAACAAAGTATTAATAGAAAGGTAATGACTGTCCTGTGTAGGTGACAGTGATATCCAATAGGCTAGGCACTCACGAGGCTGGCTGTTGCAAGTGTTAGTGAAAGCAACACGCACTGGCAGGAAGAACAGCAAACACCGATGAAGGAAAAGGGTCTTTGCAGTGATGGGCGTTACCAGAGAGGGCGATGGCCAGAGGACCCGAATGGGACGGGGAGGCAGCGCGTTGGGGGGGGGGGGGGGGCGCGACACAGCTCGGGCCCGCCAGTGCCCCAACGGGGCCCAAGTTTCTTATTTTTCCTCCCCTTTGAACTGGAAAATGGCCCACTTCCCACTGGCAAAAACTCATGAAATTTGGCAGGACGACCGGGCCTGGTGAAAAATTTGATATTCTGAAGTCGCCCAAACAATAAAATGCAAAATGGCTCCATAGCGCCCCCTAAGGTGAAAATTCACACTATTGACAGTCACACCTGTACGCTTTGTCAAAATGACACAAAAATTGACACACATGTGTATCTCAATAAGATCTACAAAAAAGTCAGTGCGGGCGTATCTGTCAAATGTACGGTTAAAGGGTTATTCCGCATTTTTTGCCGATCCGCACAAATTGGAATTTCGCTAACTCCTCCGAAGGCTTTCGTTCCACCGGCACCACATTTGCTCAGGCCAATCTACACCCCATGGCCATTAAAAGTTATTCAAATCATGACGCTGCACCCCACGTTTTATGTTCATGGGGGCGCCAAAGATAACCCTAAAATCCACATATTTAAAAGTCTTATAACTTTTTATTTTTGCCCTCACTGGCCTCCAAGTTTTCTAGGATGATGCAATGTCCAGCCATCAACACATTTGTGAAGGAATTTTTACTCCCCAAAAGAGCGCCCCCCCATGGCAGGAGAAAAAAGTCCATTTTTTCTTGTCCCCTAAGGTGAAAATACACATTGTTGAGTGTCACGCCTGTACGCTTTGGCAAAATGACACAAAAATTGACACACACATGTATCTCAATAAGATCTACGAAAAACTCAATGCACGCGTATCTGTCAAATGTACGGTTAAAGGGCTATTTTGCATTTTTTGCCGATCCGCACACATTGGAATTTCGCTAACTCCTAAAGCTTTCGTCCCATCGGCACCAAATTTGCTCAGGCCAATCTACACCCCATGGCCATTCAAAGTTGTAAAAATCATGATGCTGCACCCCACTGTTTACGTTCTAGGGGGCGCCAAAGATAACCCAAAAATCCACATTTTCAAAAGTCTTATAACTTTTTATTTTTGTCCTCACTGGCCTCCAAGTTTTCTAGGATAATGCAATGTTCAGCCATCAACACAATTGTGAAGGAATTTTTACTCCCCAAAAGAGCGCCCCCCCGTGGCCGGAGAAAAAGTCAGGTTGTTCCTGCCCATCGCTCAATGGCTTAAACGCATCGCTCTCTCGGCAAAACCGAAAGGAGGAGCAACTTGCCATTTGGATATATCCTAGCTGTGTTTGTGCCCTCACTCATGGTCCAGACTTTTTTCAAATAAGACATGGAGTTTTTCTGCAGCGAGCGTTTTGGTAGAAACTGCGCCTCCCATTCATTATAATGGGAAATGACCACAGACAAGTGCGCACACCATCTTTGGACCTTGAGTGTGACACGATCAGAAGGGGGGGGGCCGTCGCGCTGGGGGCGGCACAACATGGCTCGGGCCCGCCAGTGCCCCACCGGGGCCCTAGTTACTGTTATTGTTGTCTTGTTGTGCACTTTGAGATTTGTTTTTAAATGTAAAGTGTGTTACAAATAAAATCTATAATAATAATTATTATTATTAAAATAAATTTGGCTCACAAAACTGAATATTATAATATCCATATGTCAGCTTAAAGTAAATAACCCATCTGATCACTGAAACAAATCATCTGTTCAGCTCCTTTAGCAGCAGCAGCTGCAGCAGGCAGAGAGAGGACACGGAGACATGTCCAGGTCCAGCTGCACAAGAAATAAGAGGAAGAGGAAGAAAGACAAAGAGGGAGACGGATTACATATCTTCTTAACTTCAGCATGTGTGTTTATTTACTAGATATTTAATTTAATTTAATTTAATTTAATGCGGTTTCAGCTGTGTTGATTCGGTCAGGTTGTGTGTCCAAACGCGTGCCAAACGCGCTCATCAGATCAGATATAGATCAGAATATATCTATATAGATGTAAATGTATATGCTGACTCAGATTAATAGTTGTTAATGATTATTTATTGCACTGAAATGTGCCTGACACTGTGGAAACCTGCCTGTGAGGCATCAGTGACGTATGCCGATATGCCGCTGGTCTACCAAAATACCACTAGACCAGCTGCGCTCCACCTGCACTGAAAGCTGACCAGGTTTGAAGAGGCGAGCTTTCAGCACACTTTACACGCCACTGGTGAGCACGAAAATGTCACTGTGCCCGCTGATTCTGTCGACACCTCACCCTGCCACACCACCACACCCAGCTTGGCGTATCTCGGTTCACCTCCGTGCGCCTCAGTCCACGAAAATACCAAACTGGCTGTACGCCGGGCTCCGCCAGACGAAAATACAACTGCGTGGGGTCCACCATCCTCTGCCGCCTCACCAGCGTACACGAAAATAGAGCCCACTGGCTTCAGTCGAGAGGCAGGGATGTTCCTGCTTGGATGGTACAGCTAGCCACAATGTACAACAAACAAAACTAGGACCCCGTTGGGGCACTGGCGGGCCCGAGCCGTGTCGCGTCCCCCCCCCCCAACGTGCTGCCTCCCCGTCCCATTTGTGTCCTCTGGCCATCGCCCTCTCTGGTAACGCCCATCACTGCAAAGACCCTTTTCCTTCATCGGCGTTTGCTGTTCTTCCTGCCAGTGCGTGTTGCTTTCACTTACACTTGCCACAGCCAGCCTCGTGAGTGCCTAGCCTATTGGATATCACTGTCACCTACACAGGACAGTCATTACCTTTCTATTAATACTTTGTGTTTTAATTTCACATTAATTTCCATATTGTATAAACGACTGGAAAAAACTTGAGCCCCTGCCCCTGTATAATCATGTGCATGTCTCTGTTCTAGCTCCAAGGTGAATCTTCACTGCTCATGTTCTCCTCAGAAGCACTCACCTCACTCCCCTCAGGTTACTGTACACATGCACCAACTGCCTGCTTCAGGTTTGGATGGAGCTTCATGGTTGTCTTTTGGAGAAATGACCAGTCAAGTTGTGTTTGAAATTTGATTTTTTTCAGGGGCAAAAGGAGCCTCTGCATTCTTGTCAAATATGTAAATAGCATGTTTTTGCAGGTGCTAAAAACCAGACTCTGAGTGTGTGTGTGTGTGTGTGTGTGCGTGTGTGTGTGTCTGTGTGTGCGTTCAAGTCACATTACATATTTAACCGGATGTAGCAGCAAGACGGAGCCTCGTTGACTCTCCGTTTCAACTTATCTCAAAAGTGAGGACCTCAAACTATACACCAGTTTTCAAATTGTGTTGATAGGCCAAATAAAACCAGAGTTATGATAAATTATGTCCGCGATACTTTTTTTCTGCTTATTTTGATCACGTTCGGCGCTCGATCGCGCTGTATGAGACAGGAAAACATAGCATGCAGACATTAGCGACAGGTCTTACAGGCGGAAAAGGCTTGCCAAAGAAAAAAAAAAACACACCACAACATCTCTCCTATTGGTGGAAAACTTCACCACAACAACCAATCCAAAATTATATGGTGACTGATTGACAAGGGGGGCGCTTACGTTCTTCCTGCAACATGAGAAGGGAGGGAGGAACTCTCAGCAGGGATGCAGTCTGGGACACGTAGTTGCAAACCTAGCGACTTTGTTGTTAGATTCAATGACTTTTCAGACCCCCTAACGACTTTTTTTTAGAAAGAAAGGGACTTTTATCGACTTCTTCTGGAGTTTAGAGACTCTGACATGAAGCAGGCTTTCCTTACTGAGGAGTTAGCAACGCTGCTAAGGGTGCAGAGCCACACATGCGCTCCGAGCTCTGCATGGGAGACTAAAGCTGACAGAGCTGCAGCAGTTAGCAGGTTTCACCCTCAGAGACCACCAGGGGTTCATGTTGAGGCATTTTCAGTTTTTTTTTTTTTTTGCCATAGACACTGTCAGCACAATCTGCAGTTACACTAACAAAAATGCTGCAAAAAACAAAGAATTATGGAAAGATTACACATGGACTGACATAGAGGAGGATCTACACAAGTTTTTTACATCATGTTTTACATCATGCATCATTTACATCATGTTTTTTTGTAGTGGCATAAATAAAAAGTGACATTTGTGAGACTATACAGTGTTTTGTAAATAATTTTACAAAGAACGCCTGGGCCATTGCCTGCATTTTGATGTAAATAGAGGTAAATTACTATGTTCTTTGTTAAAAATTTGCATATGTTTTGAAGTTTACAATTTTTATTTGAAGTTTAAGTTTTAAAAACAGTTCATCACATATATTTGTGGTTTAATTTCACATTAATTTCCATATTGTATAAATGACTGGAAAAAACTTGAGCCCCTGCCCCTGTATAATCATGTGCACGTCCCTGTTCTAGCTCCAAGGTGAATCTTCACTGCTCATGTTCTCCTCAGAAGCACTCACCTCACTCCCCTCAGGTTACTGTACACATGCACCAACTATCTGCTTCAGGTTTGGATGGAGCTTCATGGTTGTCTTTTGGAGAAATGAACAGTCAAGTTGTGTTTGAAATTTGATTTTTTTCAGGGGCAAAAGGAAGCCTCTGCATTCTTGTCAAATATGTAAACAGCATGTTTTTGCAGGTGCTAAAAAACAGACTCTGAGTGTGTGTGTGTGTGTGTGTGTGTGTGTGTGTGTGTGTGTGTGTGTGTGTATGTTGGCGTGTGTGTATATGTGTGTGTATCCTGCAGTACTCTGTACTCCTGCAGTGGCCAAAAAGACTTTTAAGAATGTGGATTTTTGGGTCATCTTTGGCGCCCCCTAGAACTGCAGTACTCTGTACTCCTGCAGTGGCCAAAATGACTTTTAAGAATGTGGATTTTTGGGTCATCTTTGGCGCCCCCTAGAACGTAAACCGTGGGGTGCAGCATCATGATTTTTACAACTTTGAATGGGCATGGGGTGTAGATTGCCCTGAGCAAATTTGGTATCGGTGGGACGAAAGCCTTAGGAGGAGATAGCCACATTCCAATGTGTGCGAATCGGCAAAAAATGCAAAATAGCCCTTTAACCGTACATTATACAGATACGCGCTCTTTGACTTTTTCATAGATCTAATTGAGATACACATGATTCTCAATTTTTGTGTCAATATGACATAGGTTCAGGCGTGACACTCAACAATGTGTATTTTCATGTAAGGGGACAAGAAAAAATTGACTTTTTTCTCCTACCATGGGGGGGCGCTCTTTTGGGGAGTAAAAATTCCTTCACAAATGTGTTGATGGCTGGACATTGCATCATCCTAGAAAACTTGGAGGCCAGTGAGGACAAAAAAAAAAGTTATAAAACATTTAAGAATGTGGATTTTTGGGTTATTTTTGGCGCCCCCTAGAACCTAAACCATGGGATGCAGCGTCATGATTTGAATAACTTTTAATGGCCATGGGGTGTAGATTGGCCTGAGCAAATGTGGTGCCAGTGGAACGAAAGCCTTCGGAGGAGTTAGCGAAATTCCAATGTGTGCGTATCGGCAAAAAATGCGGAATAACCCTTTAACCGTACATTTGACAGATACGCGCGCAGGACTTTTTTGTAGATCTTATTGAGATACATGTGTGTGTCAATTTTTGTGTAATTTTGACAAAGCGTACAGGCGTGACAGTCAATAGTGTGAATTTTCACCTTATGGGACAAGAAAAAATGGACTTTTTTCTCCTGCCATGGGGGGCGCTCTTTTGGGGAGTAAAAATTCCTTCACAAATGTGTTGATGGCTGGACATTGCATCATCCTAGAAAACTTGGAGGCCAGTGAGGGCAAAAATAAAAAGTTATAAGACTTTGAAATATGTGGATTTTAGGGTTATCTTTGGCGCCCCCTAGAACCTAAACCGTGGGGTGCAGCGTCATGATTTGAATAACTTTTAATGGCCATGGGGTGTAGATTGGCCTGAGCAAATGTGGTGCCGGTGGAACGAAAGCCTTCGGAGGAGTTAGCGAAATTCCAATGTGTGCGGATCGGCAAAAAATGCGCAATAACCCTTTAACCGTACATTTGACAGATACGCCCGCACTGACTTTTTTGTAGATCTTATTGAGATACATGTGTGTGTCAATTTTTGTGTCATTTTGACAAAGCGTACAGGCGTCAGGTGAATTTTTCACCTTAGGGGGCGCTATGGAGCCATTTTGCATTGTATTGTTTGGACGACTTCAGAATATCAAATTTTTCACCAGGCCCGGTCGTCCTGCCAAATTTCATGAGTTTTCGCCAGTGGGAAGTGGGCCATTTTCCAGTTCAAAGGGGAGGAAAAAGAAAAAAGAAACAAAGAAAAACTAGGGCCCCGTTGGGGCACTGGCGGGCCCGAGCCGTGTCACGCCGCCCCCAGCGCGACCGCCTCCCCCACCCGATCGCGTCACACTCAAGGTCCAAAGATGGTGTGCGCACTTGTTTGTGGTCATTTACCATTATAATGAACGGGAGGC